GTGCTTAAAATTACTATGTTGTAATAATAGCATTCATGTGTTTATGTACTTATTTATTGGTTCTGGGCATTAAACCTAGGGCAAGTTTCTGTTATTATTGCTATTAATGTCATTATGTTATGTATGATGTGTGTTTGGCCTTGAGAGAACCATATTATGTGTGTGAATGTCAGAGGATAATTCGGTAGAGTAAGTGCTCTCTGTCATTTTGTAACTTTGGTCCCAGAGATCTAACCCAGCTGTTTATGGCAAGCATTTTGCGTACAGTCATCTTACCAGCTCTACAGCCTTATCTTATTAGGATATTTTTCACAGAGCAGGAAGAATGGGTCATCTAATTCTGCAAGGTCCCATTGCTTTGATTTTAGCTTGGATATTGTATATTCTTGATTTCACTTTTTCTTTAAAACTTGTTATTAAAATACTTAAAGCATTTAGTAAATAATACAGCAAAAATGTAATTACCACCCAGGAATCAAATAATGCCAGTTTTGGTATTTTTAAAGTTTAATTCCTTCCTCCAAGTTCTAGTACCTTCTCTCTTACTCATGTAACAGGTATCTTGAAGTTCTTGATCATTTCCTGTTTTGTGCTTAAATATGATCCTTGCTCATAAGTGATATGTCACGCTTAAGTTTTTATAGCTGTATTTTGTGTATATGTGTCATCAGTTTAAGTGTTTTAACTCTTATGTTTTTGATATGTATGTAGACGCATTCAGGTCTGTTAATAGTTTGTTTTACTGCTCTGTGGACTATATGAATATCTAAATAGTATTGTTTCCCACTGCAGATGAATATTTTGTATTTTCTGTATTGCTCTTAGGAATAATGCTACAGAGGTGTCTTTATATTTACTTTGTACAGGTTTTTCTTTAGGGTAAATTAAAAAAATGATGTTTCTAGAAAATAGGCTATGTCTTTAACTTGAATATATATGGCCAAATTCTTATGTAAATTGAATTTGCCAATAGATAGTTCATCAGCAGTGTATGAACATTTTTGTTCTAGCATTTTTTTGCCATACTTGGAATTGATTTTAAATAAAGATATCAAATGGCATCATATTTTGTGTTTTCTTTTGAGTCCATTCAAGGAATGCTTTCAGAATAAGAATAAAATAAAATGTTAAATCCACTGTAGCATTATCTCTTGCTATACAATCTCAGTCTCAGTATCTAATTGGAAAGTCAGGATTCCTTGCAATTTTACAAAGGGAAATTGCCTGACATATTTTCTGTTATTAGTGAGGGTTTTTGCTATGGATTATTTATTTTGGTCCATCTGAAGAAAGGTAGGATTCTTTTTTTGAAAAAATAATAATATGAAAATGTCTCTTATATCATGCTTTACTTTACATTTCATTTGCTTTAGTTTTTTTATCACTGATTTTTCTTTGTAATAACTTGATAAACAGTTTTGAAAATTGGGATTCCAAGGGTCCCTACTTAATTTTGGAATTGTCTTGGCTCTTCTTTGACCTTTATTCTTCACAGTACTGTAAAGCCAGTTTATCAGCTTCCTTTGGGGACTGATACCATATCCTTTTGTGTGTGGTATCTTTGTTTTTTGACAATAGCATTTTTAAGGTTTATTTGTGCTGTGGCATATAATAGTAAATCATTCTTTTTTAAATGTTTGTCTGTTCAGTCATTGGCTGATAGGTATTTGTGTTGCTTCCAATTTTGGTTGTTAGTGTTTTTGTGAATATATATTTACAGCTTTTGTTGTGAACATGCATCATTCTCTTGAGTGTATATGTAGGTGTGAATCAGCTAGGTCATAGGTTAAGTATTTAAAATTAGAGGGACTTTTAAATGCTTCTCAAAGTGGCTGTATTTTTTTTAAATAGTTTTATTAGTAATGTGTGTGAAGGTTCTGATTTCTCTATTGTTGCTGTTATTGTCTTTACATGCAGTCTTTTAAATTATTGTTTATTTGGGGTTCTCTAAAGGTTTAGAAATACTAGTTTTTGTTGTTGTTTGTTTTGTTTTCAATGAATAGGGGATGGAAATTGCAGAGCAAGGGAAACATTTCTAGAGAAATGTCCTGAGAAGCAAAATTATTGAGATCAGAAATAGGGACTTCTAATATATGATAGAGTGCAATAACCAAAGGAGGTTGATACCTCAGGATGTCATCATTTATGGGCAATATTTGGATGACTGGGTGTGGCCATGACAAGGACCTCAGTTAATATGAGAAAAAAAATTGAAATTTATGTTATTGGTATTAAGAAGGCATAGGATTTTTTTTTTTTTAATATGAGAGATAAGCAAGTTCTAACTTCGGGGAAGATAATTCTGTCAATGTGTAAGAAAGAAGCTAGTGAAAAAGCAAAGCTTTATGTCTCAACAATCTTAGTAACCATGTGGGGAAGAGAAGCAATAGATTCTTGAAAGATAAAATATTAAGAAATATTTTTAAAGTTAAAATTTCTAGGCCTGAATGTGAATTAGTATGTTTTATAAAGGAATGGACATGATGATCTTTAGACTCAGATTTATGTGTGAATCTTAGCTTCATACTTATGTGTTACCTAAAGAAAGTCACCCAAGCTTTGTTTTCGATGAGTTATTTCATTCTGTAAACACTTTAAGGATTGTAAGTATAGAAATGAATGATTGACATACTCTCTTAGTGTTTAGTTGGAAGAAGAGGCTGTGCTAGCAGGGCTTCATTGCATGGTCTTAAATGTTATGATAGAGAGAGTAAGCTTTGCTCTGAAAGCAACTAAGAGCCACTACAAAAATGCTTAGGGATAGTGTTGGATTGTTGGGTCATTCCAGAGGTAGAATTGGTAGCAGTACGTAAGCAATATATTTGATTTGGAAGGAGAAATTTTACAGTATTATTTGAGTTTTTCTGATTTGAGTCGTTGAACTGTGAATCCTAACAGTATGTCACAGGATTTACTTAGTATGTGATAAACTTATCTCTTGTGGAGGTTCTTTTCCACAGGTTAAGTCGGGATTCTATTATAACAGCATCTTTGTCTGTGAATCTCCTCCATAGCTTTTCTCTTTGAATTAGAATTATAGTTTATTGTGAGGTTTTTAATTTGTCCTCATCTCCCCCACAGTATAAGAGATCATGTATTTTCAGCTACCAGTATATACTCAAAATCTAACTGACATGTTTTGAATGAAGAATTTGAAGACTTGTAGTGGTTAGGTTAAATAGAAATAAGGAAAGATGATGGCACAATATCCACTCCTTAGGACAGTCAGATTGGTGACATGCAGATATATATAGAGTAGAATGGTTTTTGCTTTTTTTTCTTTTATTTTGCTCTTGGTATAATTGAGATTATTTTTAGTTTTAAATTACTTTAGATGCTGACATTCAAATGTGTTATAGCTTTGATAATTAGGAGTTGGGTGAGGTTATAATGCCAGAGATAAGGTCTTAAAAATATATATGGTGCTATAGAGAAACCCTGTTTGGAAAAAAACTATATATATATATATATATATATATATATATATATATATATACACACATATATAGGTATATATATCAATGTTTTTGAATATATATATATATATATTCATAAAATGAAATCTATGCATTATTTGGAATGTGTTCAAAATACAAGTTTATGTGTTCTTATTGTACTGCATCAGAATCACTGCAGGAAAGCCTAAGTTTGTCTGTTTATCCATTCTTCTGTCCATCATTTCTACCTTCCTTCGTTGCTTTCTTTTTTTAATCCCTTTCTTAATTTTTTTTTTGGGGGGGGCAGGTTCTCTTAGTTTAGCCTGGTCTAGAACTCACTGCACAGACAAATCTGCCTTTGAATTTCTGATCTGACCTCTTCAGTGCTGAGATACAGATGTATTTCACTATTCCCACCTAAAGGTAAATTTTAATAGATTTCCACAAGTAATTTTTTGGTAAAGCATGAAGCTCAGCTCTCAAAACTCTTAATGGTTTATTTATATTTTATTTTTTATTTTTTTTAAGTACTTAAAGCAAGGCTGGGCATGGTGGCACACATCTCTAATCCCAGCATTCAGGAGAGAGAATCAGGCAGTCTGTGAATTTAAGGCCAGCCGAGTCTACATAGCAAATTTCTGGCTAGCCAAAGTTATGTAGTGACACTCTGTCTCAAATCTATCAATCAATTTGTCCGTTCATCCATCCGTCCATCTGCCTACTCTACCTTCCTTCCTACCTATAAATAATATGCAGATATATTTATTTTGTTCCTTTAACCTGTTATGTATTGGGAGGGTTTCTTAGTCATTGGGATTTGGTTTTCTCATTATGATGAAACAAATAAGAATACCTGAAAACTGAAAAATACCTCTGATAGGTTATAAGTGAACTCTGAACTAAGAAATTTAAAAATTACTGAAGAGCTTACTTTAAGCTTTGTAATAAGTTGGATATTTTTGTAGTTTTTATTTGTAAAGAGTTATAGACATGGAGGGGTTTACATAAGTAATGCCACAGTGTAATGGGGCCCTGTTATGTGTCAGGAAGGAATCTATATACTTTGAATACATTTACTTTAATTCAACAACTTAATTCTTGAGAGACCGAGAGTTCAAAGGACTTAGCCATAGTTGCACCTCTAGGAGGTAGTAGATAAGCATCAATGTTTTTGTACAGCGGATATTTTGCATATAGAGTTTATCTGAAAGCAGAATTACTATAGGTGTGTGGAGGAATTTGAGGTATGTGAACAGTTTTCATATATTTTCAGCTTATTTGTGAAAAGGCTAAGGAAATGAGGAGCGTTAATCTTTGTATGTGAAAATGAGAAACATGTTTTCCCAGATGAAAATATTCAGATCACAGTCTACTTAGCCACCCTGATACTGATATTGGTAACAGGAATAGGGAAATTTGTCTTTCAGTATATTTTGGATCTTTATAAGTATTATTGAAGATGGATTTGCTTTTATTTTATAATGAATATTAGTGATTTTTATTTCTGAAAGACTATCCAGTTGTTTATGTTAAAAGAATTGAGTGAGGTGTTTTATATTTTAGGTTAAAAATCTGTAAGAGCCTGATTTTAGAATTCACCAGCTCCTCAGAAGTTTGGCGAAATATGGTATGTCTCTGTTTTATTTTTTGAAATTCATATTGCATGAATTATTGTCATGACTAACATAATGACAAATGCGTTCAATAAATTTGAGCGTCTGTCATTTTTAAAGGATCATACTAGGGTACTGAGTATGCTACCAGGTAGACTGAGAGATATAAGTGGGCTGAAAGAATTTATAAGAGATTACTGTACTATGAGAACATAAGTAATGTGGATAAGAAGATCAAGGAAATAGATTTGGATGTTAGGCTGTGGGTGTAAAGAATCTCTTACTTGCAAGCATGTTATATACAAGGCATGCTATGGTCTTAATTCTATCTGTAATGTAACTGAAGTTTAGAGAGGTAATCTAACTTGCCCAAGGTTTCCCAGGTAGTAAGTGATCACACAGACTGAGGGATCTCAGATTGGCATTGGAACCAGTATTGGGATGAGCTCTCTACTTCATAAAAAAAGAAGAGAGTACTTGACTTAATCTTCAGAGTGTGTTTAGTTCTTTAATCCATTTTATTTTAACTTTTGTCAACTTTGTGTTTTTAAGTTAGAGGTTAGATTCATTCAGATATCCTCAATCCACTTAGACTATTAGTATCATGAGACCATAAAGGAACTATCTCGTGGACCACATCATTTATTTCAAGAATGTTGTTGCCTCTGTCCATTGCTATCCCAGCGATGCCTATGTTGTTAGGAAACATATAATAATGATAGGAAAATCTTGGAAATTGAGTTATTTCTTACAGAGATTATAAGTCCTTCTTATTGGAATCCCCTAACGTTGTGAACACTAGCAAAAATATGAGCTCAAACATTAATGTTTGAATAATTGCTTTGAGATTCTCCAATACCTTCCTGTTTTCAGTTGAGTTCTGGGTCATGCTGTTAGCGACCTTGTTTGTATGTGCTGTCAGTTTGTGAATGTTAGTGTGAAGGGGCTTTCCCCTTACTAGTCTTAGACTTCTTATTTCTAGTTATTCACATTTGTTCTGTGTGGTTAAGTCAGTGGACGATGCTTGAGAGAAAAACTAACTGGATAAAATGATATATCAGTACTGGTATATTATATTGCTAGTATAAGGCATTTTGGCAGACTTACAGCATGATTAAAGAGTACAGTGAAATTTGAGTCAAAAAGATTTACTTAAAACTTTGTAATTAGAGTTAAGGTACTTGGAGAATAAGGGTATGCATTTGTATTTTGCTGTGTAATTTTTATAGAATTGAGCATGGACGCTTTCTTATACAGCCAAGGGTTTTAAAGTTAATTTTAGATGAATCTACTATAACTACAGAATATGTATATGTGCAACTTTTTCATCAAGAATTTGCCTCTGGCAGATGGTCTCTCTATCAGTTTAAGATTCCTGTTATTAAATCAGTCTCATTTTAACTATTGCCACAGTCCATATTCTAATTCTTTGCTTATTTGTAAGTATTGAAATCTCAAAACTCTGTAAAGCAAAGCTAAGCCATAGCAAAATTTTAATAATTGGTAGAAAGGTAGTCAGTCTTGATTTTAGTCTTATTTCAACAATATTTGTGAAACCTTGGACAAGTTGGGTAGTCACTCCGAGGCTGGTTATTGTTATTCTTAAGTGTCTGCTTTGATCTCGCAGATCTAAAGTCAGTGGAACTTAGGGGTACTGTTGATCACTGTACTTTGTAAGCCATATAAACATTGAAAAGCAAGGATTATTATCTCTCTCAGAAATGCCTGGTACCAGATGTGTTTCAGATTTAAGAATTTTTCAGATGTTTCTATAGACTTCACTGATTAAGCATATCTAATCTGAAAATGCAGAATCTAAAATACCCCTAAATCCAAACCTTTTTGAGTTGCTGACAAGATGATTTAAAATTTTCTGGGTTTTGGGTTGAGAACGTACCTCATTTTCTCAAGTGAAGAGATCATTTAAGAAAACAATATACTGGAAAATAGTCCATAAAGGTTTTCCTATGATAATTATTCTTCTAATAAATTTTATGTTGACAACTGATTTTAAGCTTTGAAGATTATGATTTGAACAGTGAACTGGGTTTATGCTAGTGTTCTAACTAAAGGTCTGTTTAATTTGTTAGAATTATTAAGCCTCCGTTCAGATCACGTTAGCAACTAGACTGGTGTGACAACCTGTTTTTAATCAGTGACTCAGAGCTGTTACCACCCTGATGTCCCCGAATGGCCACAGCTTGTAAAAGGTAACTTTGAATGTTATTCTACAGTCTTTACAGGCTGTCATTGTAAAGTGAATATGTGCTGTATAAATGAAGGCAATGCATAGGAGGCAGGGATATTGCTAAGATAGAGGACCTAAGAGTTGAGCTATTTCTCCATTTAAGATCCTTTTGAAGATACTTATTAGAGTGAATTTCTTACCTGTCCTTTCATTGATGAAGATAAGTAGTCACCAAAGACCTGTTTTTTATATAGAAAATGTTTCTCAAATGTGTGAAGATTGCATTGTAGACGTTTTAGGAAATATATGGAAAATGCCTTGATTAGTGTTTGTAAGTGTACCTCTGTCGTGGTAGAAGTTTACATGCCTCTCTAGAAGTGTTGCACCTTTAGTAAAGTTAGTCTGTAGTGGAGTTAAAGGTGCAGCTCTATATCCTTAGAAGGGTGTATTTGCTAGTTCATGCTGCATTGCTTGATGTTACTTGGGTGCGTTGTCATCCCTTTCTGTCGTTCAGGTTGATACTTTTAAGACTGTCTTCTTCAGTGTTACTAGGTATGTTTCAGTTTACCAATTTCATTTATTTTTATTTATTTTTTTATTCTGGCAAACTTTAGGATAACGGGTTAGTTTCTGTTTTTTTAAAGTTTGGTTCATTTTAAATTTTGGATTTGGTAAACTAGAAGTGTGTACTGTATTCTTACTTGTAATGTGTTGCTAGTAAAGGAACAATAAGCTCCTTAAGAACCAAAGTACAGCTTTGGGACTGTTAGTAGGTACTTGAGAGTTAATTTTAGTTTTAGGGTATATTTTAGTAATTTACTTAGAATACTGTTGAAGTAGTCTGAAAGTAGACATTATTTAGATGTACACAGTTAGTAATAACATCTTTCTGTTGTGTATATTTACTTTTATTTTGATTGAAATAAAACTGCAGTTTGAATGAAAGCAGCCTGTGCTGTGTCTAAGAGTCCTGAGAATAATTTTAGGATAATAATCTTTGAATCCTTTTTAACTATTCTTTCAGTTAGGTTGTCTTAAGTTATTCGTTTGGCTTACTGGTGTTTAATGGCTCACTCTGATATATGTAGACATTAAATAGAGATCTAGTGTGTGTGTGTGTGTATGCTTTTTTGGCATTGTGCTACTGGTGTTTACATATTTTGTTTAGGGAACAAGTTGAGAAAATAGCTATAGTTGGCTGTTTGAAGATATGTTTGCTCTATAGATTATTTTAGGATCTTGAAAGTTTGCAATAGTTCTATAATGTTCTCCTGAGGCATGTTTTTTCCCTAATGTCTTACATTTTTCCTGTATTTTTTTCCTCCTCATCATTTCCAAACCTTTTAAAAAAATTTCGCTTTCCCCAATTCATTTCAAACATTTTGCTTCCTAGCTGATTAACAAGTTCTAATTTGCCTTTCTCATTTCTAACATGTTTATTTTTTTATTTTATTTTGCAAGTGAGCTTTACCTCACACTGTAATGTCAGATGTTGGAGGGGCACACTAAAAAATGAGTTAGCTAGTCTGTATGGGTAATCATTTTGTTTTAGCTCTTCTAGCCCTTTTGTATAGGATGTAAGTTTCGGAACAATCTTGGGATAGCCAGATGATGTGCTTATTCCCTTGGAGAGAGGGTGGTGAGCTGTTGCATTTGTTATCACATCCAAGTGCCAGTTTCAGTTCCTATGTAATTTCGTGTTAAACAGAAACTATAAATACACTGCTAAGAAAATCTAAAGTATTTGAGCTTTGGGATTTGTTTGAATCAAACGTGCCTTTTTTTCTCTCTTTCTCTCTGTTTGTGTATTTACTGACTTGGAATCGAAATGAATTGCAGTGTTATTTTGAAGGTCTAGTAAAGAAGTGAATTTTTGATACTAAAAGTAATATAGTAAATTTTAAAATTCTTTTTTAATTTTAAATTTATTTTATGTGTGTAAGTGTTTTGCATACAGGTATGCACGTGTACCACATGTGTGCCTGGTGCCCACAGAGGCCAGAAGAGGGCATCAGACCTGGGACTGGACTTACAGATGGTTATGAGCAACTGTGTGGGTGCTTGGAGTCAAACCTTGATTCTCTGGGAGCAGCCAGTGCTCTTAATCAATGAACTACCTCTCCAGCCCCTGATTGAAGGTTCTTTGTTAAAAATAGTGTCCATAACCATGTGCCAAAAAAGGCCTTTTTATAAACTTTTTTTTGTTTGTTTAAGTTGGAAAGTCTTTGATAAATTCACAAATCCAGTCTTGTTATATTTGTATTTTAAATTTGAAATTTAACTTAATCTTTTTTTTTTCCTAACCCATTTTGGGAATTTGAAATGGTAGATAGAAATAGGTACTAAAATCAGTTCACCATAGAACATTGACTCTCATACTGGTAGGTGTTGGCAAGCCTTTAATCCCAGCATTCCGAGGCAGAAGCAGGTAGATCTCTGTGAGTTCAAGGCCAACCTGGTCTACAAAGCAAATTCCAGGACTGCCAGAGCTGCACAGTGATACCCTCCCTCACCTTCTCCCCCCAAAAAAAGAAAGAAAAAAAGGGGACATTGCCTATCACATTAATGATTTATAAAAATTAACATAGTAACAAACTTTTTAAAAAGTTAATTGACTTTTGTGATGCAGCGTCTCACTGTTTAGTTTAGGCTGGCCTCAAAGTAAGGATGATCCCGACTTAGCCTCTGAGGACAGGAGGTACGGGAAAGTGCTGCTGTGCCCAGCTCTAGAATTGTTCCTTAACCATGTGCCTCCTGCTCCAACCCAATAAAAATGGGATGCTTCTTGATGCTTTAGATGTATGTATTTCCTATAATAGCTAATATATTAAAAATAAAGAAAATAACCAGCAACTCTTAAAGCTGAAACTAGCTTACAATTATCTAGCAAATATAATGCTCCACATACATGCTGATGATATTTAAATGTTTCTTAGGGAAAGCTAATTTCCTTATTGAACCACAGTAATCATGATTAGAATGGTACATAGCATTTAACTATCTTAAAATTTACATACACTATAATATCATAGTTTGAATTGTCTAGAGCAGAAGCTGGCAGATATTTTTTAAGGGACCTGTGAATATTTTAGGTTTTGAGGGAAAACTGGTCAATATACATAGACAGTGTTTCAGTACATGCAACTATCTCAGTAAAACATACCTACAAAATCAGGTGATCATTCCACATCTTGGCGTGTTTGCCAGGTTACAGTTTGTTAACACTTCATTTAATTTCAAGACTATGAATACCAATTTGCTAATGCAGGCAGCCCATCTTGATAGAAAGTTACTGTTTTTCATACTGTTTGACTTTGTAAATTATTATAGTTTATACTGATTTGATATCTGAGTATAATGATTCTAATTTCTTTTTCTCATTTTAAATACCCTTTCATTAGAACTTAAATATTGCTTTCAAATTTATCTTCCCTACTTACATTTCTGTACCTTTTTGGAATTCACTAACCTTTGTCTTTAATTACATTTACAGATCACCAGGAGAATCCCAGTCTGAGGACATTGAAGCTAACCGAATGTAAGTATAACTTGGTTCAGGCTATGTGTGTTTTAAGTTGCCCTACACTGCTTTATTGGAAAATACCTTCTAGGCTTAAAAAAATCAATAAAATAAATTTAAATAAGAAGAAAAAACTGAAAATTATATTCAGAGATTGGAAAATATCTGTTTCCCCCCTTACCAAATGCTTCCATGATCATTAGATGTCTGATGGTAAGTAGATAATTGTGTACGTGATTCTGAATTCTTGTGCTTTTTTTGCCCTGAGCAGGTATGGGTAAACAGGGAAATGACAACAGATAGGTTTGGCCTTGTTGGTACCTGCTATTGACTAATATATAACTAATGAAAATACAACTGTGTAGATGTGACTTCTGTTTACTCTAAGTCATTAGGTCCTGTGTTTTGGATATAAAGATGCATGAGAATTAGTTCCTACTCTTTGAAAGAGCACAAACAAATATTTTTAATTATTTAAATAGAACTGTAGTTGGGCTATAGTGAGAATACAGAGGAATACCAAGCTATGCAATAGAAGTCTAGTGGAGATAGTAGGAAAATTAGCATAACCGGGTAAAACCAAGTGTAACTTGAAATGTTACTAGGAATTAAGCAGCTGGAAGTTTGACTGGTTTTTAGGCAGAGTCATGGGCAAGGTTCTGAAGCAGGACACTTTGAGTACAGGGAAAAGTGAGGAACTGAGACTTTTTCAAAATCTGATGGTGAGGAATGAAAACTGGAGAAAGAATCATCATTACAGGGGGATTAGGCAAGAGACTGTTGCAGTGGCAAGTAGGAAGACTGGAGTAGGGGGAAGGTGGCTGGTAGGTTGGCAGAAATGAGTGCCTTAGTAAATAAAGAACAGTTGATGGAGACACTGACTTCTGCATATGCTTCTCCACACATGTACCTGCACAAATGCATGGTACACATTCTGAAATTAGAGGGAGCTGTATTTAAGAATGTAGTTGAAAAAGTCAAGATTTTCTTTACTGAAAGCAGATTACATCATTTTAAATGCTTATGTACATTGTGATCTTCACGAAAACGACTATGGCATATATATTTTAAATTTATGTGACCATATAACTTCTATGATAACTTTAAAACAATTATAAAATGTGGAAAATTTACTATTTACCGTTTTAAACTATGCAATTCAGTGCTAGTGTGGATTTTTGAGCATTTATCATCAGAATGTTTGTATCTTACATGCTGAAACTTTGTATGTATTAAATAGTGACTCGTTATTCCTAATTCCTACTGACGAGCAACTACGATTCTGCTTTTTGTCTAAATTGTGGTGCTTCTAACTACCTTAAATAAGTGCAGTCACAACAGCTTTTTTTCTTTAATAATTGGCTTATTTTACTAAACACAGCATCCTCAAAATTCATTTCTTTGTATCATATGCTAGAACTTTTTTTTTTAGACTGAGTAATTTCACTTGCTTGTATATGCTTTATTTGGCCCATCTATCTGTTCATCTGTTAATGGGGTATTTCTGAGTTAGCAGTTGGGAATAATGCTGTTATAAGCATGGACCTGTTCTTTGAAACCTTGTTCAAAATTCTTTTGGGTCTAAATAGGAAGTATAATTATTATATCATGGTAATTATGTTTAATATCTTGAAACAGTGCCATATTGTTTTAAACAGAAGCTATACCATTTTATTTATATTACCTATAATAAAAGCATTATGGTTTTTCTACAACTTGGCTGGTGTATTAAAATTTCTTTGGGGAGTAATAGTCATCCTAAGGGATGTGATTTCATTTATTATAGTTTAGTAACCGAGTAGCTTTTTTGTTGTTGTTGTTGCTTTTACTCTTAAAAAGCAAACAAGTTTATTTTGTATACCTAGATAGCTGCCAGTATGGCAGAAACTGAAGAACAAGTGCCTTTCCTTTCTTTCCTTTTTTCCTTTTTTTTTTTTTTTTTTTTTTTGAGACAGGGTTTTCCTGTGTAGACCTGGCTTTACTCTTTCTAGACCAGGCTGGCCTCAAGATCAGAGATTGACCTGCCTCTGCCTACCAAGTGCTGGGATAAAAGGTGTGTGCCACTACACATGACTTCAGATTCATGAGAGAAAATTTATAATCTCTGTAATCAACTAGAAAATCAAAATGAAGCAACAGTGAGATAACACCTCATACCTGCTAGGATGGTTATTATCAAAATACTAATGTTCATGATGGCAAACAGAAATCTTGCACACAGTTGGAGGAAATGTAAATTAGATCAATTATGAAAAATAATAGTTTCCTCAAAAATTTAAAAGTAGAATTGCCATGACCTAGCAGTTACATTATAGGAATATATAGCTAAAGGAAATTAAACTCGTGTGTTGAAAGAGATACCTACATTTTCATGTTGATTGCAACCAGAATGCAGAAATAAACTGTTTGTCAGTAGGTAAATAAATAAAATTTGGAATATATGATAATGTAATTTTTAACCATTAAAAGTTGTCTGAAATCCTATGTCTGAAAACATGGGTGGAAATAGTGGTTCACATTTAATGAAATAAGTCAAGTGCAGAAAAACAAGTGCTGCATAATCTCATGTGTGTAAACTAAAAACATTGACATTCTTAAAAATGTTACTTGTGATAGACTAGGTGGTGGTCACAGAATACAAAATGGAAAATGGATAGAATTTAGTTCAGAAACCTATTGTACAGCGTGTGACTTGTTAATATATGCGTTCTTGAGTATCACTAAAGGTGAAATCTTAAGTATCTTTGCAAAGATGCTTTGTATGTGAGATGAATATATGCAGTTCTTACTTGTCAATAAAAATAAAAATTTTTGGAAAGACATCTGTGTTTTCATATATCAAAATTATTTCATAAATGAAAGCTTTTAACAGATTGATACATTTTCATAATCATAGGTATATGGTTAAGATAAAGGAATACTTGTTTGAAGTAAATAGATACTAAAATTCTTTAATATTAATGGAAGTAATTTTGAAATTCTTATATGGGATTATAACATGCACATTGACACTGATGTTACTTTATTGGTGACATAATGGGGTAGAATTTTTTTTTTTTCAGGCTATGAGTTTAATAGAACAGAATGGAAAACCAGAAGGTATTCAGGTAGATTTTATGAAAGCTTCATGTTAGAAGCTTGTGCATTTAGGGTTTTTAAGAATCTTGATATTTTCCTGGGCATTTTGGCTCACTCCTAGAATCCCAGTACTTGGGAGGTTGTATAGGGCTAGCTTTACTCATATAGTAAGTCTCAGTCTAGGCTACATGAGACTCTGGCTTTAAATAACAGCAGCAATAAAAGAAAGTAGTCAAAACACGCTAAGGAGTCTGTTTGTTTGGTATAATAGCTGCTTTACAAGTACATTGATCCTATTCCCAGAACCTATCTAAAAATGTGGTGTGGTCATCTTACCCACTCTTGGGGGAGGGGCAGAAATAGAATTATAGTTGAAACTCATTGTTTCTTCAGTCTAGATGGTTCAGTGAGTTTTAGGTTTACTGAGAGACCCTGTCTCAAAAAGTTAGGTCTGGAGCAATTGAAGATGAAGTCTGAAATTGATTCCTGGTTGCTAAATGCACACGCCTAGGTACACATGCCTGCACATGTGTGCACACACGGAAATTGATTAATCCAAAGTAAGGCTGTTACTTGTATACTCTTAATTTCCTCAAATTTTCTTTTATAGACCTTTGAATTTTATTCAGTAGTTTTTTCCCATGTCCATTAACCAAATTTTGGAATGCATCTTTATTGTCTCTATCTCATGTTGGAACCCTTTGTAAGTCCTGCTGGACTTATCTTCAAAATTCTATTTGGCCACTTAAAAAAGCATTTATAGCGCCATTGCCATCTTGGTTTGAGAAGGCATTTCATTGTTTCTTAGTACTTTTGTCCTAGAAACTATAAATGGGCTTTTTTGGTACTGATGTTAAACCATCTTTTCTATACTTAAAACTTTTCAAACACTTCCCATTCATAAACTATACCCAGAAAATGATATGGCCTTATATGAACTGGCTTCTTTAATTAAGATGATATTCTGTACTTCCATGTTCTTACCCTACAACTTTTGTCTTCTTAAGTCTAGTATTCTTTCTCTTGGGTTCCTCACATCTTTTTCTTCTTCAGAAGTCTTAGATGATGTCTTGTCAGAGATGTCCTTTCTGGGTAACTTTGTCTAATTATGATTATGTCTCATCTTTTCAGTTATATCTATTTATCTTTTTAAGATTTAATAACACAATTTTTTTTAAAGCTCTCACATGGCTGTTGGCATTTAATACTCTGACCAACAACATCTTAGAGGACCAAAGGATTTTGAATTGAAAGAACGTGGATTGTGAATTTTATTCATTCATATTTTTTTCTTCCCATCAAAAGATTTTAGGGAACATTAGTGAGGATAGTTTACCTTTAGCTCATAGAGTTTATTTGCTGTTAGTACAGTTTAATTCTAGAGAAATTATAAAAAGATATTCTTTCAAGTTAATGTCTGAAAAGCAGAACCTTTTCCTTCAGGGTCTTCTGTGTGTTCTCTAACTAGTCTTTTGTTCGTGTTATCATGAAGATTAATTAGCACTGTCAGCGCAAAACAGTTAAAGTCACTGTAAAAGGGGTAAGGTGGTTTATTGTAGAGCCAAGTAGAAGTCACCATGTAGAAAAAAAAAATGTGAAGTTTCAGGCCACCCCAAATAGCAGGTTCTAACTTGTCTGGGTAACATTTTCATGAAATATGGGTGTGGCTTTTGTTTTACTTTTAGCACAATGTAATATCACACAAACTTTGTAGATAGTGTATATTGGGTACATCTAAATGTTTACCACATTCTACTCCAAAACAACAAAAAGCAAACAAAACCAAGGAACAAAAAATTTCTACAGGTATTAGAATTCAAGTTCAGTATTGTTACTTCATGCTGTGTATTTCTTTGATTGTAGAAAGCTTCATTTGAAATTAAAAAAGTATGAATTTTATAGTTAGTTTTGTGTCAAATACTTGAGAAAATAAGGCATGGTAGCTAAATTACTTTCTTTCCCTATTTATTTATTTTTCATTTTTTTGAGCAAGGTCTTCATATTATTCTTCAAATATGAATTCTATTTCTTTTTCATTTAATTTTATTTTTTGAGATCATAGTATAATTAATATGTCATTTCCTACTTTCCTCTCTCTAAATGATTCCATACACACTTGCCCTCATGGCCTCATTTCTCACTAATAGTTGTTACATACATATGTATTTCATGTAAATCTGGCACTTTTCAAACACACTAATGGAAATATCACAAAAGTGGTTGCAGCCAAATAGGGACCGTTCTGCTCTATGTTTCAGGTGCTGTCTGATGACATTAACTTTTAGTTTGGTGGAAGTTAGGAATAGTTACTAAGATGTTAAGTAATGTGCAGAAGTGGACCGTGAAGGGCTAAAGCTAGCCCAGGATAGCTGTGGATTTGCAGCCTTTTGACTCTCCAGAATTCATTCTTACCACTCAACTTTGTTTGGAGACTCTTAGACTTGACCTCTCTTCTGGAATCTTTAGTTTGTAATGCACCTATGTAATCTTTTCTTTTTATTTTTTATTTTATGTCAAAAACAGGTGCACAAATTTGTGTTTTTCACATTGGTAGAACTTAGGAACACCAAATTCAAAAGGTTTTGGTGATAACAATGTGCCAGCTATTCCTGCTTTGATATTTAAGGCTGAAGCAAACATAGATTAATTTAGTCCAGTCTACAAATATCAAATTAAACATGACGTGTAGGTGCACACATATATGTATGTGCATATATTTATGTAAGATCCAGAGTTAAGGAGCCATGACAGAGTTCCAGAGGTTTCAGAAGCCTGAGAAACAGAAGATTGTGTTGTATCGTGACATCTCGGTATAGGCACATGGTTTATTTATAGTCTTCCTTCTTTACCATATGGCTTTGGGACTTTTGGGGGGAGGAGTATTATTAGTTATTTGACATCTTTTCAAAATATATCTTGATGATATTCATCTCTGCCATAAATCTTCCAGATCGATCCCTCCCCGTCCCCTCACTATATGTGACCTTTAGTTTTTGTTAACCCATCAAGTATAATTTCTACTGTCCATATAATCTTGTATCTGTGGCCTTCCATTAGGGCATGGTTACTCTTAAAGATAATTATTTCCAACAGCTGTCAGTTGCAATAGCAACTCAGCTAGGGTTGAGACTTCATGCTCACCTGTTTCCTAGGCCAGGGTTTTTTGTCTAGCTTGAGCTCACATAGGCCTAGTGAGTGCATGCTTTGAGTTTAAATACATACCTGGAGCTGTCTTCAGAAAACAGATTCCTTGTACTTCCGGTCTTTCCATCTCCTCCTTTGTAATGACCCCTTGAGGCTTGGGAGGGTTTATATTTATGGGCCATATGTTTTTTCACAGCTCATTCTCTACAGTTGTTTTAATCACCATTTACTGAAGAACAAAGCTGGTCTTATGAGGGTTGACAGATGGAGTGATCAATGATAAGTTGATTGGAGTTTTAGTACAGTTTTAGTACTGTAGACATTTGATAGAATAGTAGTAGGTTCTGACCAGTACCTATGACCTATCTAGCCACAGATTGTCAGTCTTAGTACAAGGCTAGGTATAGGTTTCATCTTACGTTGCAGACCTTGAAGCCAATCAGAAAGTGGTTGATGATCTCAGGACATTTGTGCCACTATTGCAACAGGTAGCTTGTCTTGCCAAGCTAGTTACTGTAGCTCTTGGCGTTCAGAACTGGGTATGACTGATGACAATTACTTTCTCCTTTGGTAGCCTGCATAGCACTGTTAAGTACTACAGATGCTAACCATTAGTAGGGATCAAGTTACCAAGTGAGTTTAGCTTCATTTTGCTTTACTGACTGAAGTATGTGGTGTTTTCAGCAGTAGCATCTTACCGTCAGTTATGGGATTAGTAAAGAACATTGGCAATAAATTAGGCATGCTGATTTTCCACTAGATATTAGGAAATAATGTCTTCATTAATTGGCCACTTTTTCCCTTAAGTAGGATCTCTAACTCTTATGATACATTTTAAATTTTTTAAACTTATTTATATTGTATGGATGTATGTGGCTGGATATATGCTATGGTGTATTTTTAGAGTTCAGAAGACAATTTTTGGTAATTGGTTTTCTCCTTTCACCAAGTAAGATCCAGGGATCAAATTCAGTGCATCAGACTTGGCCTTTGGGTCGTTCTGTTTGCACACTATTAATGGGAAATGTATAGGAAACATTCCTAATTAAAGCTTCTGAATTGGTTGGTAGTGCTGAAATACAATTTTGTGCCATCTGCCTATGTTGTTTGGAGTCATTGTCCTAAGACTTACCAGATTCCTATTTGCTTGTTCACCTCTAGTGCTCTTGTCCACTTACTCTATCCATTAACACAATAATAGCATGAAGTTTTGAGAGTGAAAGTAGGTAGGTTCTTCCTACTGGGAGCTCCCATGCTTGTAAATTAAAGTCCAAAGGGATCATTTTGAATTCTGTGGACTAAGTATGCGATTCTACTTAAATAGAATAGAAAGAATTTTAAAATCAACTTATAGAGATAGATTATGTAAAACAACTTCTCGGTTGATGACATAATTAAATTAACTTTTATTGATCACCTTGCCTGAAAAATTGATGATCAAATGTTAATCTACATGTTTAAAGCTTATAAAGTAAGATGAATATGATTTTGCCCTAATAGAAGTTAAAACCTTCATCTTCCTATGACAAGGATTTAATGAAGAGGGTTAGCGGCAAGTCTGGGCTCAAGATTATCTGCAGTGATGCTGCTTTCCCTTGGTATAATACGATATTTAGATCATTTACTTTTAAATCTCTCATGATTATTAATTGAGAATTTTTTTCATAAACTCTAGATAGAAATTTTGTATTAACTGCAAATGAACTATTTGAAAGTTATTAGAATTAATTATTTATTTCATATGTAATGAAAAGGAAAACTGGCCTAACACAGTGATGTAATTTGTTTTTAGTTGTACTCAACAGTTAAGGATCATACAACATCAAATTAACCTTATCTTTTTAAACCAAAGAAAAGCATACTATATTAAAATGATAATTTTTATAAGATGACATTTTGTCACAGTTTCTTAGAAAGTATTATTTCACCAGTTAACACTTGGGGGTAATAGTGGATTTCTAGTTTCTCCATCTAAATATTTAGTTTATTGCTTTAGTGCTTAGTTAACTTTTGTCTTATCTGTTGGGCTTTGTTTTTGAGCAATACTAATCACTGTGCTTATTGTTTTGAATGTCTGGTACATACAGGAAGCGAGCAGCTGCAAAGCATCTAATAGAACGCTACTACCACCAGTTAACCGAGGGCTGTGGAAATGAGGCCTGCACGAATGAGTTTTGTGCTTCCTGTCCAACTTTTCTTCGTATGGATAACAATGCAGCAGCTATTAAAGCCCTTGAGCTTTATAAAATTAATGCAAAACTCTGTGATCCTCATCCCTCCAAGAAAGGAGCAAGCTCAGCTTACCTTGAGAACTCAAAAGGTACACCTAACAACTCAGAGGTAAAACCGAACAAGGACGGAAAAGGAGCTAAACCTGATTTTAAAGGTAAGAGATTGTATTTTCAATTGAAAATGTTCACCTTCCTAGGAATGGACGGAGAGGGGAGGACCTAGGACTTACCACAGGGCAGGGAACCCTGACTGCTCTTTGGACTGGAGAGGGAGGGGGAAAGGAGTGGGGGGAGGGGGAGAAGGTAGGAGGAGGGGGAGAAGGGTGGGAGGAGGGGGAGAAGGGTGAGAGGAGGGGGAGGGAAATGGGAGGCTGGGAGGAGGTGGAAACTTGTTTTTTTTTCTCCTTTTCTCAATAAAAAAAAAATGGGGGAAAAAAAAAAGAACAAATGTGCAGAGTTAGAGTACGGCAAGTGCCCCCGGAAGCAGGGTCCTAGCCTTTGCGGGCACCTCAGGAGTCGCTTTCATTGCCGCCACTCTCAGTTACTTCTATAATAAACTGAAGTAAAATAGGAAAATAAAAAATGGATTCTGATGGGAATGTTTTTATCTTCCTCTGAAATTATTTAAGTCGTGTTTCTATTAAAAACACCTCCATGGAAAAAAAAAAGAGAGAAAATACTCAATTAAAAGCTGTGTCAGAGATTTAAATGTATTAATTTTGTTCTTTTGCTTTTTTGTGACCTGAAGATACCATAGTGTATATATATAGTAAAAGCCTTTCTTTTGGTAAGGTCTGGTAAAGGAGAGTTATTATTAAATTAGTTACTTTATTACCTTTTATTGATATGGTAGTTGTTAATCAGAAGCAGATTATACTGTAGAAGTTGATATGTGAATGAGTTAATCTCAACTTGTAATGATTTCCATTGTACGTAATAGCTTATTAGGTCGCAAAGTCTATAACTTATATTGTATTTATAGTAAATCCTGTTATGAACTCTGAAACTCCAGGGACAGTCTTAAAAGAAGCAGATAACATTTTCTTCCTATATTCTGCCTTCTGTATCTAAGGCATTTGATATCCTCACAAGGTACTTAGGTCTTGATGTTTGTTTGTTTTCAGCAAGGTTTCTGAGACTGTCTTTGGACTTTTAGTGACATGCAATATAAACAGTACCATCTGAGCTATTGGTTGGGGAACCAATCCATGCTTTGTAAAATGGCCCTATATTTTGAAGCTTCTTAAAATTTTCCACTTTTTCATCATGGATGTCCAATCTTTCTTTGGCTTAGTGTAAGTAATTAGTATTAATGAGGTAGTTAAAATCTTCAGATTGCCAAGGGCTTAGACTCACTATTATTTGAAATATGTTTAAGAGGTATTGAAATAAAATTGAGTTACATACAGGTTTATTATGTTATTTCACAATAGAACTATAGAAATATCAGAAACTTTGCTACTCAAACTATATTGCTAGTCCTTTTTCATGAATTTGCTCATGTAAGGATAAATAGGTGAATGCTACCAATATATTGAATATGGAATCTGGATTGGTTCATTTTGCATGCTTCTGCCTCAGAAGGCCATCACAGAGTAATAGTAAATGAAGTATAATATGCCATTGTGGTTAAATGGAGCTGTCTGTAGGAAAATCTGGTACATAATGGATGTATTAGTCTTGTTTTTGCTCATGTGTTCTATTTTGCAATTTATTGTTTTGCAGATCACTCCAATTTTTATTTCCTTTACTCATTTGAATATTTTTAATTAGGAGTTATAAATGCTTAATCATATTGCTGCTCTCATTCTGATAATTGTGTTTGTTCATTCTAGTTAGATGTGTAGATCTAATCAATTATTGTATGACAGCTTTGTTCTTACATGAAACAGTTTTGTACTTTTTAGAGTATACAATACTATGTTTTAAGTTTTTTTTTTTTTTTTTTTTGGTTTTTCGAGACAGGGTTTCTCTGTAGCTTTGGTGCCTGTCCCGGAACTAGCTCTTGTAGACCAGGCTGGCCTCGAACTCCCAGAGGTTCGCCTGCCTCTGCCTCCCGAGTGCTGGGATTAAAGGAGTGCGCCACCACCACCCGGCTTTAAGATTGTTTTTGAGATGAGTCTTGCGTTGTGCAGGTACTTAGAAAGTTAAGGAAGGAGCATCTTGAATTCCATTCTAGCCTGTGTTATATGATGTAACATCATGTCTCAAACAGTTTCAGAAACATATATATTAGAATATACAAGTGAGTCTTAAAACGGTTTCTTTAGTTACTTGTTCATTGCTATCCAGACTATAACTTTTTATTTCTGATTGCAGTGCTTTTTACACACACACGCACACATGCACATGCGCACACACACACACACACACACACACACACACACACACACACACACGGAGGTAGGGGAGGGAGAAGAGAGTTGTCAATTAAACATTTCAAACAGAACACTGTACGTCAAACATGTTATCTCCTAACACACTGTTCATTCATCATACATGTTTTCTATGTTTTTGCTAACACTTTAGAGAAATTAAATATACTTGAGTGGTCAAAAAAGATACCATAATATTTTCATTGGATTAATGAGAAATAAGCTCCATGTTAGTGCTTTCATACTTACTTAATCTTAATAAACTGAAGAATTAGTGCTTGGATTGGCATACTGGCTCATCCAGGTACATGGAACCTACCGCCAGGCCTCATGTCAGGGACCACACTGTGGAAGGAGTAAACCAACTCCTTCAGGTTACCCTCTCAGCACCCCTTACTTCTCATAAATACATATAAGGACAAATTATTTTTTTTAAGGAAAGAATTCAAGATCATTAAGCAAACAAGTGTTGATAACTCTTGGAGCAGGCCACAGATCAGGTTTGTAGTATATAAAGTTTAGTGCTTCATAGTCCATCTTCTGGAAGCCATTCCATCAATGATGACTTGAATTTTATATTGTTTCTTACTGTTGAGTAAGTACCTTGAAGAATATGTAGTGATTATAGTAAAGATTTTTACATACTATTGTCTTGTTAATACAACTACAGCTGTTTCTGTTTTGTTGTGGGAGACCTGTCCTTTCCTAAACAGAAAATGAGGAGTGGATTCAGGGGTCAGAGCAGAAGGGGATGAGGGGGAAGGGACTGGGAGAAGAGGGGGAGGGCAACTTCAGCCAGGATGTAAAATAAATTATTTTTTATAAAAGGATTTTTACTTGCTGAGTATAGGTAAGGAAATACTTGGCATAGTGAAAATAGGGATAGATTGTCAACATAGCTGTAAAATTATCCTTCCTTACATAATTGATTTAATGATTATAGTACTCTTCAACAAAGAGGTTATTTTGGTTTCAGCATTATTATTTGCTATTTGATTTCTAAAATTTTACCGTATAAAATGTCATTCATCTTTTGTCAGTAAGATAAAATATCTTTTGCTTTGTTGCTTCGAAAGGGTATAGCCTTTAATGAGAGTGACATTTACTATAAAGGTGAGGGAAGCTAGGAAGTTAATGACCCTAGTTTCGTGCCTGGGAGAAAATGTATGTAAGTTTTGGTGCTTATGGTCTTTACTTTCTTAGCTTTTACCCACTGTTTATTTTTAATTGCCTCTAATAATTTCCAATTGCTTTGTTAAGGCTGTGAGGACCTGAGTCATGGTAACAGATTGCAGTAGTAGTAGCCTCAGTAGAAGCTTTAACTTCAGAGTTTGCTTTTCCTCAGTCACAGAATAGGAACCTGAAAGAAATGAACACAGAAAATGAATCAGTTTTTGTTTGTTTGGGTTTTTTCTTTGGGGTAGGGTGTTATTTTTTGTGACAAGGTTTTTCTATGTAAATGCTCTGTCCTGGAACTTACCTGAATTCACAGAGATCTGCCTTCCTCTGTCTCCTAAATTCTGGGATTAAAGGCGTGCGCCACTTGATTTAATATATAAATAGAAAAAGGGTTGCTTGCATATGATGGGACTGAGCAACACTTGGTATAAAACTTTGCCTCCTTAGTCTTTTGAGAACAATGTAAGGGAAAACGCTTCCAGGATATTAGTGTAGTAACTCTTCATTAAGGTTGCAATCAGTATAGCAATGAAATTACATACATACTTATTTTATACTTAGAAAAATACTAATGCATGTCTTGATTACAAAACAAATCTTAATAATAATTATATGTTGTTGAATGAATGCCAAAGAGTGAGGTTGTTGCTAATACTTAAATGAACTAGGAATTGCTAAGTGTAGTTTGTTGATAGGTAAATTAGGTTTTTTAAAATTTCTGACTTTTCGAATTCAGAATGTTTAGGCATTTTACTTTCTTACTAGAACTTACAATCACAAAATAAACATGTATATCACAACAATAATTGTTCTTTGTCTTTCCATTTTCTAGATGTGAATTACCTAACTGAAGAGATAGTATATGAAATTCTGGAATCGTGTAGAGAGAATGATGATTACTCCCCTTTAATTCGCGTAATTGGAAAAATTTTTTCTAGTGCTGAGGCATTGGTTATGAGCTTTCGGAAAGTCAAACAACACACTAAGGAGGAATTGAAATCTCTACAAGAAAAGGATGAAGACAAGGATGAAGATGAAAAGGAAAAGGCTGCATGTTCTGCTGTTGCTGCTGCTGCTGTCGCTGCTGCTGCTGCTATGGAAGAAGACTCAGAAGCATCTTCTTCCCGGATGGGTGATAGCTCACAGGGAGACAACAATGCACAGAAATTAGGTCCTGATGAAGTGACTGTGGATGTTGATGCCATTAGAAGGGTCTACGCCAGTTTGCTCTCTAATGAAAAAATAGAAACTGCCTTTCTCAATGCAATTGTATATCTGTCACCTAACGTGGAATGTGACTTGCTGTATCATAGTGTGTATGCCCGAGATCCTAATTATCTCAATTTGTTCGTTATTGTAATGGAGAATAGAAACCTCCACAGTCCTGAATATCTGGAAATGGCACTGCCATTATTTTGCAAAGCTATGAGTAAGCTACCCCTTGAAGCTCAAGGAAAACTGATTAGACTTTGGTCTAAATACAGTGCAGACCATATTCGGAGAATGATGGAAACATTTCAGCAACTAATTACTTACAAAGTCATAAGCAATGAATTTAATAGCCGAAATCTAGTGAATGATGATGATTCCATTGTTGCTGCTTCAAAGTGTTTGAAAATGGTCTACTATGCAAATGTAGTAGGAGGGGAAGTGGACACAAATCACAATGAGGAAGATGAGGAAGAGCCTGCGCCTGATGCCAGTGAGTTGACACTGCAGGAGCTTTTGGGAGAGGATAGAAGAAATAAGAAAGGTCCTCGAGTGGACCCAATAGAAACTGAACTTGGTGTTAAAACTCTAGATTGTCGAAAACCACTTATCTCCTTTGAAGAATTCATTAATGAACCACTGAATGATGTTCTAGAAATGGATAAAGATTATACCTTTTTCAAAGTTGAAACAGAGAACAAATTCTCTTTTATGACATGTCCCTTTATATTGAATGCTGTCACAAAGAATTTGGGATTATATTATGACAATAGAATTCGTATGTACAGTGAACGAAGAATCACTGTTCTCTACAGTCTGGTTCAAGGACAGCAGTTGAATCCATATTTGAGACTCAAAGTCAGACGTGACCATATCATAGATGATGCACTTGTCCGGGTAAGTTTGACTCTTACTTAAAATCAAATTTAAACTGAAAGCTGCAAAGTGAACACATTTCAGTGTATTCATTTCATCTATGATTTTGAAAGAAAAATGATGTCCTGTAACTTAGGAACTTGTTGGTATTTCTGATCTATGTTTCTATACCTTTCTTGCTACTCACCGAAAATATTGGTTCTGTTTGTTGTCTAATGTAATGATTATTTCTTTTTGACGAAGAGTAGATATTATAGTGCTCGGGAGATGACTCTGGGTAAAGTTTGCTGTGCAAACATGAGGACCTAAGCTTGGATTCCCTGAGCATGTGTAAAATATGATGTGGTAGCACCACTTATATGATACCACATCCTAAAGCAGGTTCGGTGGTGGAGACAGAAGAACCCTCAGAAACTTATTAGATTACATTATGTAAAACTCCTTATTCTGAACTGGATGATATGCCAGGATAGTTTGGTTCTTTGTGTCAGTAAGACTTCATTTCTAAGCCACCAAGTCACTCTGTCTTATATGACAGTAAAAGATTTTGGTTTTTTTAACCGTAATAATGTTAAGTCCTGAGACTTCAAAATGTGGGTATTAATGTTTCGATTTTTCAGTCAAATCTAGAAGATTTAACTGGGAAGTCAGGTGCTTCTAACACCCTGATTTTTCTTTCAGATGACATTGCTTCTTGACTGTTCCTTTATTCCACAGATGACAAGTATTGCACTCTTAACTGTCTCTGTCAGTTAAGCCAGAAAATTGGTTTGCTGAGTGCTGGTCATAGTTTTACAGAATCATATTTAACAAATTCAAGGCATTATTGTTTGGTATTAATTATTCTTGTCAGTGCTACTTTTTTTTCTATGAACTTGATGTAAAATTTAGTACCTGTTACACTTAAAGTGTCACCCTTATATACTAAGAAATAAGAAGAACCTGTAACAGATAACTGATTAATACTTATTTGAAAATATATTTTTTAGTATGGATTTGCCTAAATCTGAAAAGTCATAAGACTGAACTGAATTCAGACTTAACCAAAATCACCCACCAGACTTCTTTGTTATTTTCTTCCTTTCCTCCTTTTTTTCTTTAATAAGGTGATGCTAAGAACCAGTAAAAATTTAGATAATATTTGTATATTTTTTAAATGATCTTTTAGGAGAAAATTAACCATTTCTGTATTTAACATTTTTTTCCTAAAGAGGTATTGAGGTAAAATCAACAGTAAGCCTTGTAATTATGGTAACAAATTGTTGCTATGAATATTACTTAGTTATTTCAACTGGTTATATGCTTTGGCATATTATAAATCATAATCTATTAGATAATATCTGCACTTGTCTAGGACCTGTTTACAGAAGCCTTTGCTTTCAACAGTCCTGCTGCCTTTCTCTTTGATAAGCAATACAGTAGTAACAAAGAGATAACATTTATTGATAAGGTTCTTAGGTGTTCTACCCAGCTTTTATTCTTTATCCTAGTTTGCAGTTCCTTTCTCTACTTTTCCTCTTCCCCCTCTTCTTCATTTTTCTATACCGTCTTAACTCCCAACCCCCACATTTCTTTATTTTTCAACATACCAGTGTGAAAGGATTAGAAATGTAAGTATAGACATATACCTTAAGATACACACACACACACACACACACACACACACACACACCTTAAGTATAGACACATACCTTAAGAAATGTAAGTATAGACATACCTTTAGACACATACCTTAATTGAGGACCCCCATCAGCATTACTGATCGCAAGTTACGTCAGTTTAGTAACAGAAAGGAGGTTTACAGCAAGCAATATCTACAAAGATCCCGATGAACTGATGAGTCAGCTTTATTCTGTTTGCTCTTGTCTTGGCTTGCCATGTGCCACTGTTGTGTTTTAAATCTTGTGCTTTTTTTCATAAGAATAGTTCTCGTTGGTCACACTTGGTTGTGATCCTGTCATTTTGAACTGCATATTAAGGTTGTATAGAGAAGAAGGAATGAGAAGTTTTGCTGAGAATTGAACATTATAAATAAATAATGAAAATTTATAGTACCCTAAACTTAAGAGCTAAGAAGGAGATAATAAGTTTTTTTCCTTAGTTTACAAATGAGGCTTAGAAAAGATTACATATGTGATTTTTATAAGTTTTCTATTGAATCTTACTTTTCACTTGTTAATTAGACTAGCTAGTTTAAAGGTAGAGAAAAGGCCAGTAAATTAGAATTAATAATTATGATATTTTTTACACTTGTGATCCTTTTGTTTCTGCTTCCTGTTTAGTGCTAAAATTATAAGAGTGTACACTCTCTGGTCTTTTTTTTTTTTTAAGCCAAAGTATGTCCATTGCTTTCATGTGTCATTCACTTCAAATCAGTCTAACGACTCCTCCCAAGCTAGTGCTTTTAGAGGAACTGTTACTGGACAAGAGAATAGTGTTTGAAATGTTTTATTAAGTATAAGGTACTGTTTTTTAAAAACTACTGCAATATTTCTCTTGAGCTTTGTTTTAACTGTTTTTTTTTTGGCTTTTATTGCTATGAAAATAATACAGAAATAAATATTAATAAGAACCCTTCTTTCATCTGAATTACAACAATTTTAGTGTGGAAGTTTTTACAAATTCTTAATACACACACACACATATATGTACACACACACATACTATATATATTCTTAAGGTACTGAGATGGTTTTATTGGGTAAAGTGACTTGCCACTAGGCCTAATGACTAAATTTGATCCTCTAGATGCACATGATTGGAAAGAACTGAAGCCCAAATCTTAACCTCAAACCTCCACATATGTGCTGTGCCACATGTATCCTTCTGCCCTCCATTAAATGTATATGTTCTTTCTTCAATTTGAACAAAGCTTTTCAAGGGTTGTAGTGTGTATAAAATTTTAAAGTTGTTTTTTTAAAGGAGTAGATTAATGTAGTGTGTATTAAAGAAGAGACAGTACTGTCATACATGAGTTGCTTCTGACTTCCCTCACAGTCTTAGAGCTGCCCAAATGAAAACACAACAGCAAAAAAAAAAAAAAAAAATCAAGTTGTTGCCTTCTAGGGGCTCAGATTAGAGATTCTGGCAGGCAACCTAGTGTTCCGTGCTTTATGTATTTTGGTAAATCTATGCCACAAACTAATATTACTAATATTTGGGAACTAAGTGTTAGTACAGTTTATATGTATAGGTTATAGGCTATTGTAATATGTGTGTAGAATATTGTCAGTATTTAAGAAGATTAATAAAGTCAGTGTAATTGAAATAGGAACTGATAGTGTTATGGGATTGATTAAATTAGTAAGTTCTAGAATTTTACATAGTTATTCTGAGGACCAAAAGGAATGGTGAAGATGGAAAATTGGAAAGCAAAGTCTAAAAACCAGGACTTGTCACATGCAGATGAAAGAAATTGGTTCACAGAAAAAGTTATCAGAATTGTTGCCCAATTTCCTCCCCAAGTCACTATCCCTGTATATATGGGGGTCTAAAAGCATCACCTAACTCAGCTTCCATAATTACCTTTATTATAAATACCTACTGCTACATGTACTTCAATTTTTCATCGGTAGCCTACAGTGCTTTAATAATGGAGTTTTTTGTGCTGTGTATTTAATTCTATCAAGCATTCATTAATTAAATTTTGCTTAGTGCGATTATTATTTAACATTCTAATGGAAATGAATGGAATCCTCCTTAAAAGTAATTTCTTAGAAGACGAATGAAAAATGAAGTAGTAGTCAGTATCATAATGGCTCAGCCTCATTTAAGAATTTAAAATAAAACATCAAACTCCTTTTTTTTTGTGAGGAAAGTGAACTTTAGAGAGATTCTTATTTGTAGAAATGAATGTCATAATTCAATTTATTACCTAAGATGTAATCATTTGACTCAGCTGTAACCCACTTAAAGGCACAACAGATTCGTCTTTTGTTTACAGATAACATGAAAAAAGTTAAATTCATTAAGGCGATTGTGTTTGTCGTCATTATTTAATGATTATTTACCAAAATGTATAAGTCACCGTTTTTGGAGAGTCTTACTTAGCACTATTGATCTAATTTGAGTGCTGCTTTTCCTTAAATAATTATATCATTAGTTGTTTTCCTTTTAAATTATGTCAGCATAGGGTTTGAGGTAGTAACTCAGGATGTCTAAATGTTGTTTTTTTTTTTTCCTCTTTTTAGTATTTTGAGACAGGGTTTCTCTGTAGCTTTAGAGCCTGTCCTGGAACTAGCTCTTGTAGACCAGACTGGCCTTAAACTCAAAGAGATCCACCTGCCTCTGCCTCCTGAGTCCGGGATTAAAGGCGTGCGTCATCACTGCCCAGCTCGGATGTCTAAATGTTTTAAATGATGGACTAGCAAAAAAAATTTTGAATTTTGAAAATATGGGAATAGAATGTTTTGAATCAATATATATCCTACTTAGTAGAGTTTTGGAAATGCTTTCATATGAGATCATCTTATAAAAAATGATCTTGCCAGGATTTTGTCTTGCTAATTAAAAGTTAAGGAGTTTAAAATTATTTTAACAATCGATGAGAGCAAGAATTTCTAATCAGAAAAGAAGCCTATTTAGGATGTGGCAGTTACCACTGTATTTTAATAAAGTATAATATCAGTATATTTTATTTTTCTCTAGTACTGTCTATTAAGGCAATACTATCTATTTTATATTTAAGAAGTATAAATACATATAAAATCCATTGTTTTATAATAAATGAGGTCAAGGATGCACACAGATTTTTTTCAAAATTTCCTGACATTTTCCAACAGTTTTCATTTTCATATACCCAACTACATATAAAACAACTTGATTTTACAAATTCAGTTTTAAATAAAAGCTATTATTTAAAGTAATTTAACTGTATACTTTTAATCCCTATACTGTTTAATTGATGAAACAGTGGCTTAAAGGGTGTGTGTGTGGGTGTTTTAAGGATTATTATTTTAAAGAAATAAAATTTAATGTGATTTCTTATGATAATGGCTTCTGCCAAAGGTATTATTGCATAATATGTTTAGTTTCTGTTGCCACAGTTTTTAGAAAGATAGGCTACTAACCCACTATCCTCAAACAAGCTAATAGTTCCAAAATCACTTTGATACATTGAGAATGGTCTTTTTTTTTTTTTATTTTTTTTGTTTTTCGAGACAGGGTTTCTCTGTGGTTTTGGAGCCTGTCCTGGAACTAGCTCTTGTAGACCAGGCTGGTCTCGAACTCACAGAGATCCGCCTGCCTCTGCCTCCCAAGTGCTAGGATTAAAGGTGAGAATGGTCCTCTATTTTTATTTGAGAAATAGCCAATTGGATACATATACAGAATTAACTTGCCAACTATTCTTAAAACATAACATTTAAATACACGCTGATTCTGAAAATAATATGTGAGTGTTGATAAAAATAAGAGAAAGCCAAAGAAAGTAAAAAAGCACACAAAATTCAGAAACCAATATTCTCTCTAGCTCTGTGGAGAAGTAGTTGACTGTAGTCTAACACGTGCTGCTGGATTAGAGCCTCTCTCTGAGCTACTTACTCTACCTTTCGACTAATTTAAGAGGCCCATCTGTAAAGTTTTCTAGCAGCCTATTTGCGACGTGGTTTTATTTGTAAAGTGACCCATCACTTTTATATACTGCTTCTCCTGCTCTTATTCCTGGAATATTTTTGTCCTTAAAATCCTACGGTTAGGCTTGGTGGAAGTGGTGCACACCTTCAACCCCAGCTCTTGGGAGGCAGAGGCAGGTGGATCTCTGAGTTTGAGGCCAGCCTGGTCTACAAGAGCTAGTTCCAGGAAAGGCTCCAAAGCTACAGAGAAACCTGTCTTGGAAAACCAAAAAAAAAAAAAAAAGAAAGAAAGAAAGAAAGAAATCCTGTGGTTAAACATTCTGACAAAACTGGAAATATTTATTTATTTGTTAATCCTATTTTAGATAGAGAATGCCTGTATAGCCCTCACTGGCCTGAATTTTTCTATGTAGGTGAAACAGCATTAAAGAACAGAGTTTGAGTGCTGGGGTTAAGTGCATGTGCCACCACGTGTAGAGAGCTTGGAACATTGTAAATTAATAGAATGGAAGTACTTGCAGCCCAAACTTAGAGGCAGAGTTAGTATTAGAGAATTAATCTGAGCATCTCAAATATTGTGTTTTCAGTGATCATAATAGAACATACAGTATTAAAAGCTTCTGGCTAACCAGTATTGGGGGGGTGAGGGAATAGCAACAATTGTTAGAAATAGACTGTCTTATTTGACTGATAAAGGGCTAAGAATACCGACAAGCTTTTGAACCAAAAATTTACATGTTTTAATAGAAATAGCAGTCAAATGCATAAGTTATGTCGGACTTTTTTCCTATTTAGTAATGCTTGATTAAAGCAGTTTCACTTCTGTGGTGAAAAAGAAAATGAAAGCATTCACTGAAATCTTTTGAATTCTTAGCAATTTGAGAACTGGGAGAAAGCACTAAAACAGATTACACAGTAATAAGGGCAATGTTGTGTGGGATCATTGAAATTTAAAGGTTCAAAATTATTCTGTTTTAAGACAGATTTTCAATTAGCACTTTTGTTGGTTTGCTTTCCTTTTCCATTTCCTAGGTTAATTTTGAATGTACATAATTTTTGACTGTAGGGTGTAACATGAGGGCCTGCTAGTTGGGGGTTTCTGTCCTGCCTGGTTCCCACAGTCCCAAAGAAAATCACACAGAGTCTACATTAGATATAAACTGATTGGCCCATTAGCTCAGGCTTCTTACTAGCTCTTATCACTTATATTAACCCATTATTCTTATCTATGTTAGCCACATGGCTAGGTACCTTTCTCAGCGGGACAGGTCACATCTTGCGTCTTCTGTGGTTTGTGCAAGACTGCTGAGAGAGCTTCCTTCTTCCCAGAATACTCCTGTTCTTATTGCCCTCCTCTACTTCCTGTCTGTTTGACCCGCCTATACTTCCTGCCTGGCCAATCAGCATTTTTTAAAACATGATTGACAGAACACAGACAATTCTCCCACACCAGTAGAGTCTCAGAACTATTCTACCTTTTGATCTGTTTGGGACATAAAATTATGAATCTTAAGAAGTAGACTTTTTGAAGAATAATAGTAGTTCTCACCAATTTTGCATGCTTCATAGAAATTATATATTAAACTTTTGCCATCTTGTAGTAGGGAGAATATTACCCCCTTTTTTTCTTTGTACATTAGAAATTTGGCTGGATTTACTGAACTTTAATTGAATGTTATTAATCTTTTGTGACAATTGGGACTTCATTTTAATAGAGTATTTTGTTTCTTATATTTCAGTAAAAAATTACTGCCTCAAAAATAAACTTTCAATAAATACTGACCTAAAATTATGTATGTCAGCTGAGAATATAGATCAGTTAGTAAAGTACTTACAAGTAGACCTGAGATTAATCCTCAAAACTTTGTTAACAAAGGCCTTGCAATCTTGATGGTAGATAGTCAGGTACTGGCAGATGCCTGGGGCTTCCTGACAGTACAGCCTGCGCTGATCTTCCGTCTTGTAGGCCAAAGAGAGACTCTTTTGACAAGTAAGGTGCACATATGAAGACATACAAATGAGTTAATCAAGACCAAGACAGAGATGTTTTTAAAGAAATGAATTCGTAGTATTGTAGAACCCATAAGTTTAAGGTATTCAGGAAGTAATTTGAACTAATTGTTTTTTTCCCAAAAAGTTTTGGCTGTATCCCCTACTAAGAAAAATATAGCATCCTAAACAAAATTTGTACCTGTACATTGAAATTTGTCTTGCCACAAACAGCAGGTCCTTTTGCTGATTCTGATGTGGTCTTTTCATTTATTTTTGTTGTTTTAATTTTCACTGGCAGCAAACCATTGCAGCTCACAGTTTAAACTTTAAGCTTAGATTTAGGGCAACTTGGCCAGATTCCTGAATTTATGAGATTTTGGTTTTATTTATTTATTTTATAGATTGTTAGAATACCAAAACACTATTGTTGCTTATAGCATTTGCTTTAGTAAACTAGTAGACCTATTCCAGTGCCACTTAAATTTTTAAAATTCCTTTTGAAATAGTTAAGACATTAACATTCTTAAATATTGTTTTGTCAAGCTTTCATCTTTAATGTTACATTTTTTTAAGCCAACAGGTGTTTGGAAACAATGTTGAAAATAAATTGTATAGTTAGTTATGACTACTATCTGCAAAGTTCAAGTAGATAAAACAAGTTACAATTTCAACATAACGCATTATAATTTAATATTTCATAGTGGACAGAAGTAGTTAATGCTGGTGGAGCAGAGCAGGTTTGGCTAATTGTTAGATGAAAAATAAAGATATCAAATATATGTTTCATTTGCCTTTGTGAAAATTTGGATATTACGTGTCACATTATAAACCACTAAGAAGTGGCAATAACTATGAATTTGTTTTGGCAGGAGGGGAATTGTGTTAACAATAGAGTCTTGATACGTAATCTAAGATTTATTAGAACTTATCATTTTCCTGTCTCATAGGCGTGAGCTAACACATCTGACTTTCTGTTGTATATTTCTTAGCTGAAATTATTTCATTTATAGCATGGCAGTTAGGAAGGCTTAACTCTTTACATTTCCATTCTAATAAATATAAATTATTTATAGGTCTACTATGATCTCTTATTAAACAATGCATAGGTCACATATCTATGCTGGTTTTGCTAAAATGACAAACAGGCATTTTGCTCCTTCAATTTGTTCTCATGCCCTGTTCCATGTATTATATTAATTTATTATATAAAATATAATAGAAAATTCAGTTGCCAAGTTAGAAGTAACCATTTTATGCAGTGGTGGTTTTGTGTGTATGTGCTGTGTGGTGTATGTTTATGGTTCATGCATGTGAATGTGCTGATTTGTGTACCCATGTGTGAACATCTAAAAGCCCATCTATGATGTCAGGTATTTTCCACTTCTAGACAGAAAGATCATTGAGTAAAATGGAAGCTCACCATTTTGGCTAGGCCTTAGATGTCTTCCGGCCTGTTCCCCACCGTGTTAAAGGCATGAGGGACCATGCCAGGAGTTTAACAACGCTGGGGATTTCAACTGAGGTTTTTTTTTTTTTTTTTTTCAACTGAGGTTTTAATGCTTACAAATGATGCACTCTTACCTAATGAGTCATGTCCTAATACTCTGCCATACTCTCTTGTTTTTGTTGGGGGTTGGTCAGTTTGCTTCTTGTTTCCATTCAGAAACAAAATTGCTTCCTATTAATACTCTTTGTTTTCAGAAGAAAGTTTAGCTTTTATGCTTTTGTCATCAGTCCTCCTCTTTATCTTTTCGTTAATAAACAGCTAGAGATGATTGCTATGGAAAATCCTGCAGACTTGAAGAAGCAGTTATATGTGGAATTTGAAGGAGAACAAGGAGTGGATGAGGGAGGTGTTTCCAAAGAATTTTTTCAGTTGGTCGTGGAGGAAATCTTTAATCCAGATATTGGTAAGTGTTAATGATTCATGTTAGTCTTTTGAATTACAAACTTGGTTTTATGAATATTCTCTGTGATGATAAACAACAAAAAAACGAGTGTGGCTTATCTCTAATTAGTTACAGATGACAAATATGGATGTTTCAGGAACTGATCTGTCTCTCATGAATTCATGTTATTCTTTAGATTGTTTAGCCAAATATTCTAGTAGAGAAAAATTATGTTTTTGTTAAACCTTAGAATGGTGGATTGGAAACAGTTGAAGGCATGAGAATAATGTATATTTTTTCAAACTGTAGAACTCAGGTATGAGTTGGATAATTTTAAAACCAGTATTTCACAAATATTAAATTGCAAGAAAAGGCATAGATTTCACTGTGTATTTTTCTTTTTCATTAAAACTGAAAATGAAACATTCAAAACTCTTACAAAATTAAGTTAAAAATTAATTTTTATGCTGTTTTATTTGGCTTTGAATAATCCTGAATAATCTTGTTCCGTTAGAAAAAAGTTTTTTTCCCAGACCTTTCCCCCGCCACCGTGTGTGTGTGTGTGTGTGTGTGTGTGTGTGAGAGAGAGAGAGAGAGAGAGAGAGAGAGAGAGAGAGAGAGAGAGAGAGAGACACATACATTTAAACACTTTGGTCTTGGTTTTGGTTTTGTGGATAGTGTTTTATATTATATTAGTGCTTTCTGACTTTGAACTCACAATCCTCCTGTCTCATTCTGCCAAATGCTAAGATACACAAACCCCTTCTACCCCAGCATATTAGTCCTTAATTTAGAAGTATTTCCTGTGAAGCAGCTGAAAATGAACTTAGAAAAATTAGAAAGCATATGAATTTATTTTAAATATTTTTATTTTGTTCAGTGAAAAAAAGGCAAATCTCTATTACTGGTTTTGTAGATGAAGTAATAATAATAGGGAAAAATGTCTCGTAAATTTGGTTTTTAATAATGATGACCATGTAAAGATGAAATATTACAAAATTGTTTTTTAAACTATTAGTTCACATTATATAGATATCTAAGTAACTTAAAGTTAATCAACTTTATCTAATTTTTGTACTTGATCATGAATTTGCTTCTTATGTAATTTTCAGTGTCTAAAATATAATTGAGTGCCTAAAGACTGTAAATTAATTTTCATTTGTCAATGAAAATTGATAATAAGCTATGCATAATTTAATAAATCTTTTTAAAAACACCTTTCCAGAAATGTCACCCAAGTTGCATATTACTTTGTTTCATTGGTTTCTTAGAACGTGTGTACCATCTGTTAATACACTTAATATAATCATAGACTAGATTTGTACAGTTTTCTCACATGCATTTAGTAGTAAAAACTTATATCTGCTATATTAAAATTCTTAGATGTTGTTTTGTTCAAAATTATTTTTAAATTTTAAGACTTCGAAAAATTCAAATTATTTTAAAATTTATTTTTTATAGGTATGTTCACATATGATGAAGCTACAAAATTGTTTTGGTTTAATCCATCTTCCTTTGAAACCGAGGGCCAGTTTACGCTGATTGGGATAGTCCTCGGTCTGGCTATTTATAATAATTGTATACTGGATGTCCATTTTCCAATGGTTGTCTACAGGAAGCTAATGGGAAAAAAAGGAACCTTTTGTGACTTGGGAGACTCTCACCCAGTAAGTTCTTTATCATTCTTTAATTGGTCTATAAGATACTTCTTAATGTAGAAATACATCCTAATTTATAAAAATATGTTTTTGTTTGGAGTCTTTTGCAATATATATACTGCTACCCAGTGTGGTAAAGTTTAAAATTTTCAAGAGTGTTGTTTTTATAGATTGTATCAAGCGAGTTTTGATTGACCACATAGTGAAATGTGAACACTTTGTTTTCGGTGTAGCCTGTGGATCTGCCTGGTGGAATGAGCATCAGCTGTTCTTAGATAGACACAGCTGATGTGTTTTTTCCCCTCCTTGGAGACCCTGTGGGTGTTGTAGAGCACAGTATGCATTATGTCATAGAGTTGATGATTTGCTTAGATGATTGACACATTATCAGTGTCAGTGTTTTGTTTTTATTTTTTCTTTCTTCAAGACGGTGTTTCTCTTTGTAGCCCTAGCTGTCCTGGAACTCACTCTGTGGAGCAGGCCGGTCTTGAACTCAGAGATTCGTCTGCCTCTGCCTCTGCCTCTGCCCTCTGCCCTCTGCCCTCTGCCCTCTGCCCTCTGCCCTCTGCCCTCTGCCCTCTGCCTCCCAAGTGCTGGGGTTAAAGGCATGCACTGTCACCACCCGACTCAGTGAAGATCTTTTGTGTCTTATTAAATTACTAGAGAGATGGTAAATAAATAATTTTAGCTTTATTTTTATTGACAGATAGTTTCTTAAAGGAATGAAACACGCTCTTGCTCTCTCTCTGTCTTTTAAAATGCTTTTTACAAGTTATTTGGTAACCTCACTTCTCTTTCTGGTTGTTAGGTTTTATATCAGAGTTTAAAGGACTTATTGGAATATGAAGGGAATGTGGAAGATGATATGATGATCACTTTCCAGATATCACAGACAGATCTTTTCGGTAACCCAATGATGTATGATCTAAAGGAAAATGGTGATAAAATCCCTATTACAAATGAAAACAGGAAGGTAATAAAAATTTTCTGTCTTTGTTTTGTAAATATAAATTTCAAAGAAATATTCTTAGAATTTTCAAAGAATTATTTATTATTGCTTGAAGCAGTCACAAAAAATTAAATAAACAAATTTATGTAAATAGTGAAGATACAGTTTACCAACTCTTAGATAAGAGCCATTGTGAAGGTACACAATTAATTACTAGAGGAAGAGTCCACCGACTAGCAGAAAATGAATGGCTAAATCTAGCTATAGTCTAACACCAGAAACCGGGCGCTACCATATCAAACTTTAGAGATAGATATGACCCAGTGAATAAGGTCCTAATTAGTGTGTATAAATGTTTCCCATTTGAAATATAATTATACATGTGAAAATTATTCATTTCGTTAGATTTGGTTTCTGTTTAGATGGTATTCATTTGGGAAGAGGAAATAACTGAGTAGTATAAGAAAATTACAATAAGTAGTATAATTTTTAAGAGTATGTAAGTTTATATTAGTATTTTTTTGTAAAATATTTCTGTCAGGATACAGAATACCATTTTTAATAATTTTGGCACAGTATTTGAGCATACCAACAAATAGTACTTTTGCTGAACTGGATACAGTAGGTAGTTTACCAAAACTTTTAGTAGAAATCATGAGACATTCTTATTTGCTCAAATTTAGTATTCATATCTTAAATTTATATTTGCATACTTAAAGGACTTTGAAACATTGTGTTGAGGCTCTTTTTATATTAAGTCCTTTTTAATCTTTTATATCAATCTTACTATTATAAAATTACATTTTATATTAATTCCTGTTTTACTCTCAGAAGTGAGGAATTATAAATGTATTTTTCTTTCTTTATTCATACATTTTATTAATTTTTAAAGGCTTTTGTTTTATATGCGTGAATGTTTTGCCTTTATGTATGTTGGTGGATTGTTTGCATGTATTGCCCATGGAGACCAGAAGAGGGTGTTTAGTTTCTTGGAAGTAGAGTTACAGATAGTCGTTAGCCTGTCATGCTAATGCTCGCAAATGAGCTAAGATTCTCTGTAAGTGATGCTAATGATTTTCACCACTGAACGCTCTCCTCAAATTTTATTTTTAAAAAATATTTCTGAATGACTTTTTGAGCAGAACTAAAAGCAGCTCTATAGCCTAATAGGTAATTGTGCTTACTTCTATAGCATGTGATTTCTTGTTTTAATGTTTGTACAGGAATTTGTCAATCTTTATGCAGACTACATTCTGAATAAATCAGTAGAAAAACAGTTCAAGGCTTTTCGCAGAGGTTTCCATATGGTGACTAATGAATCTCCCTTAAAGTACTTATTCAGGCCAGAAGAGATTGAATTGCTTATATGTGGAAGCCGGGTAAGAAAGACATCTGCCAGTAAAACTTCATAATTTATTTATTTTTAATGGTGTGCTGTAGATGCTAAGATTTTTTTTTTTTCTGAATTTTCAGAATCTAGATTTCCAGGCCTTGGAAGAGAGTACAGAGTATGACGGTGGCTATACCAGAGAAACTGTTTTGATTAGGTGAGGCGCTTAGTTCTCCAGAAGGAAGATTGTGTGCATCAAAAGTTTGTGTGTATTGCTGTGGTTCAGACCAGCAAGCTCAAAAGTTCTCATTTGTAAAAACAGACCTGTATTAATTTTAATATCTTGTTAATAATTACCTCATGTATTCAGAATTTGTAAAATAAGAATGCACAAGTAAGGTTTTATTTGTGTGCTTTTCATTTGGAAAAGTTCTACCTGGTTCCTTTTTTCTTTTTTCTAATAACTTTTTTTATTACTTTATAAATAATACCATTCAAAATTTCGACTTCCTCCCCTCCTCCCACTTCCCTTCCACTCCCCCAATTCCCCTCCCTCTCTCCCCCTTTAGTCCTAAGAGAGGTCAGGGTAACCTGCCCTGTGGGAAGTCCAAGGCCCTCCCCCCCTCCATCCAGGCCTAGGAAGGTGTGCATCCAAATAGAATAGGATCCCAAAAAATCAGTTCGTGCAGTAGAGACCAATTCCAGTGCCATTATCATTGGCTTCTCAGTCTGCCAAATTGTCAGCCACACTCATAGGGTCCAGTTTGATGCTATGCTCGTTCAGTCCCAGTCCAATTGGATTTGGTGAGCTCCCATTAGCTCAGGCACACTGTCTCAGTGGGTGGACCAACCCCTCGTGGTCCTGACTTCCTTGCTCATTTTCTCCCTCCTTCTACTCTTCAGCTGGACCTAGGGAGCTTAGTCCAGTGCTCCAGTATGGGTCTCTGTCTCTGTATCCTATCCATCTGTCACTGGATGAAGGTTCTATGGTGATATTCAAGATAGTCATCAGTATGACTATGGGACAAGGACAGTTCAGGCACCCTCTCCTCCACTGCCGAGGGTCCTACCTGGGGACATCCTGTGGACACCTAGAAACCTCTCTAGAGTCAAGCCTCTTGCCAACAAAATGGCTTTCTTAAGATATCTTCTTCCCTTCTCCCATATCCGTCATTCCTCCATTTCAACCATCCCACTCCCCCAAGCTCTCCCCAACTCTCCCCTTCTCCCTACTCTCTCCCCATCTCCCTTTCCCCCGCCCCAACCCCATCCCCATGTTCCCAAATTTTGCCTGGCAATCTTGTCTGCTTCCAATTTCCAAGAGGATCTATATATGTTTTTCTTTGGGTTCACCTTATTACTTAGCTTCTCTAGGATGGCAAACTATAGGCTCAGTGTCCTTTGTTTATGGCTAGAATCCACTAATGATTGAGTACATATCATGTTCATATTTTTGGGTCTGGGTTATCTCACTCAGGATAGTGTTTTCTTTTTTCATCCATTTGCATGCAAAATTCAAATTTTTTACTGCTGAGTAGTACTCTAATGTGCATATATTCCACACTTTATCCATTCTTCCATTGATGGGCATCTCAATGGTTGTTTCCAGGTTCTGGCTATTACAAATGATGCTGCTATGAACGTAGTTGAACAAATGCTTTTGTAGTATGATTGGGCATCTCTTGGGTATATTCCCAGGAGTGGTATTGCTAGATCCTGAGGTAGGTTGACTCCCAGTTTTCTGAGAAACTGCCACACTGGTTTCCAAAGTGGTTGAACAAGTTTGCATTCCCATCAGCAATGGATGAGTGTTCCCTTTACTCTACATCCTGTCTAGCATAGGTTATCATTGGTGTTTTTGATTTTAGCCATTCTGACAGGTATGAGAGGTATCTCAAAGTTGTTTTGATTTGCATTTCCCTGATAGCTAAGGAAGTTGAACATGTCCTTAAGTATCTTTTGGCCATTTGAACTTCTTCTGTTGAGAATTCTCTGTTCAGTTCAGTACCCCATTTTTAATTGGGTTATTTAGAATTTTAATGTCTAGTTTCTTGAGTTCTTTATATATTTTTGGAGATCAGACCTTTGTCTGTTGCGGGGTTGGTGAAGATCTTCTACCATTCAGTAGGATGCCTTTTTGTCTTAATGAAAGTGTTCTTTGCTTTACAGAAGCTTCTTAGTTTCAGGAGGTTCCATTTATTCATTGTTGCTCTTATTGTCTGTGCTACTGGTGTTATATGTAGGAAGTGGTCTGTAGTAATGAGAGCGGCGGGGCTGCGTCCCCAGCACCCCGGCCGCCTGTACGGCTAGCTTTACCAGAAATAATTACACGGAAACTGTATTCTTTTAAACACTGCTTGGCCCATCATATCTAGCCTCTTCTCAGCTAACTCTTGCACCTGGACTAGCCCATTTCTAATAATGTGTAGCACCGAGGTGCCTTACCGGGAAGATTCTAGCCTACGTCCATCCTGGGTCGGAGCTTCATCGCGTGTGTCTACCCAGGAGAGGAGAGGATGGCGTCTCTCTCCGGAGAGCAGAGCTGTCAGTCTATCCGGGAGAGGGGAGCATGACATCTCTGAGCTCACTTCCTCTTCCTCCCAGCAGTCTATTCTGTTTACTCCACCCACCTATGTTCTAAGCTATGAGCCCAAGCAGTTTGTTTATTACTTAACCAATGAAATCAACAGATTGATATGACACTCCCACATCAGTGGTCTCCTGTTCCCATGTGTTGCAGTCTACTTCTCACTTTCTCTTCCATCAGGTTCAGTGCGGTCGGATTTTTATTCAGGTCTTAATCCATTTGGACTTGAGTTTTGTGCATGGTGATAGATATGGATCTATTTTCATTCTTTTACAGGTTAACATCCAGTTATGCCAGCAGCATTTGTTGAAGAAGTTTTCTTTCTTCCATTGTATAATTTTGGCTCCTTTGTCGAAAATCAGGTGTTCATAGGTTTGTGGGTTAATATCCAGGTCTTTGATTCGATTCCATTGGTCAGCATCTCTTTTTTTATGCTAATACCAAGCTGTTTTCATTATTGTAGTTTGACAGTGACTCTTCTTTCTATTATGTGAAACACATTAAGGAGTATAGATATTAGCTATTCTGCACTAAAACCATCTGGTCCTGGGCTTTGTTTGGTTAGGAGGTTTTTGATGTCAGCTTCTATTTCCTTGCAACTTATAGGTCTCTTTAAATTATTCACCTGGTCTTGATTTAATCTTGGTATATGGTATTTATCTTTAAAAATGTCTATTTCCTTTACATTTTCCAATTTTGTGGTGTACACGCTTTTGTAGTAAGACCTAATAATTCTCTCAATTTCCTCAGTGTCTGTTGTTATATTCCCCTTTTCATTTCTGATCTTGTTAATTTGCGTGTTCTCTCTCTGCCTTTTGATTAGTTTGGATAGGGGTTTGTCAATCTTGTTGAATTTCTCACAGAACCAGCTCTTTGTTTCATTGATTCTTTGGATTGTTTTCTGTGTTTCTATTTTGTTGATTTCACCCCTCAGTTTGATTATTTCCAGTCTTCTTCTCCTGGGAGAGTCTGTTTTTTTCTAGAGCTTTCAGGTGTGCTGTTAAGTCTCTAATGTGAACTTTCTCTGTTTTCTTTATGTGGGCACTTAGTGCTATGAACTTTTCTCTTAGCACTGCTTTCATAGTGTCCCATAGGTTTGATTATGTTGTATCTTCATTTTTGTTGAATTCAAGGAAGTCTTTAATTTATTTCTTCCTTGACCCAGGGGTGGTTCAGTAGTTGACTGTTCAGTTCGCATGAGTTTATAGGCTTTCTGGAGGTGGAATTGTTGTTAAATTCTACTTTTACTTCATGGTGATCCGATAAGACACAGGTGGTTACTCCCATTTTTTTTTGTATCTGTGGATGTTTGATTTGTTACCGAGTATGCGATCAATATTCGAGAAGGTTCCATGAGATGCTGAGAAGAAGGTGTATTCTTTCCTATTTGGGTAGAATGTTCTATAGATGTCTGTTAAGTCCATTTGATTCATTACATCTGTTCTTTTCTTTCTCTGTCTGGTTGACCTGTCCATTGGTGAGAGAGGAATGTTGAAATCTCCTATTAGTGTGTGGGGTTTGATGTGTGATTTGAGTTCTAGTAATGTATTTTTTACATATGTAGGTGCTTTTATATTAGGGGCATAAATATTCAGGATTGAGACATTATCTTGATGAATTGTTCCTGTTATGAGTATAAAGTGTCCTTCTCCATCTCTTTTGATTGATTTTAGTTTTACATCAATTTTGTTAGATATTAGGATAGCTATACCTGCTTGTTTCTTAGGTCCGTTTGCTTGGAAAACCTTTTCCCAACCCTTTACTCTGAGGTAGTGCCTGTCTTTGAGGTTGAGGTGTGTTTCTTGTAAACTGCAGAACGTTGGATCCTGTTTTTGTATCCATTCTCTTAACCTGTGCCTTTTTATAGGTGAATTGAGACCATTGATATTAAGTGATATTAATGACCAGTTGTCGTTAACTCCGGTTGTCAGATGTCTGTGCTATTGTGGGTGTTGTTGGCTTCCTTGGGTTGAGGTTTTCCTTCTAGTACTTTCTGTAAGGTTGGGTTTGTGGATATGTATTGTTTAAATCTGTTTTTGTCATGGAATATCTTGTTTTCTCCATTGATGGTGAAAGAAAGCTTTGCTGGGTATAATAGTCTGGGCTTGCTTCCAAGGTCTCTTAGTGTCTGCAGCACATCTATCCAAGACCTTCTGGCTTTTATGGTTTTCATTGAGACGTCAGGTGTAATTCTGATATGTTTACTTTTATATATTACTTGACCTTTTTCCTTTGCAGCTCTTAATATTCTTTCTTCTGTATGTTTTGTGTTTTGATTATTGTATGACGAGGGGATTTTTTTTTTATCCACTGTATTTGGTGTTCTGTAAGCTTCTTGTCCCTTCATAGGAATATCCTTCTTTAGGTTGGGAAAATTTTCTTCTATAATTTTGTTGAATATATTTTCTGGGCTTTTGAGCTGGAATTCTCCTTCTTCTACCCCTATTATTCTTAGGTTTGGTCTTTTCATGGTGACCCAGGTTTCCTGGATGTTTTGTGTTAAGGATTTGTTGGATTTGCTATTTTCTTTGATCAATGAGTTTATTTCCTCTATAGTATCTTTAGCGTCTTGGATTCTTTATTCTATCTTTTGTATTCTGTTGGTTATACTTGTTTCTGTAGTTCCTGTTTGTTTATCCATATTTTCCATATCCAGCCATCCCTTGTTTTGTGTTTTCTTTATTACCTCCATTTCGGTTTTCAAGCCTTGAACTGTTTTCTTTACCTGTTTGATTGCTTTTTCTTGGTTTTCTTGGCTATCTTTGAGGGATTTATTAATTTATTCTTTTTGATGGAAACCCTTAAATGATGGAAACCCTTAAATGATGGAAACCCTTAAATGATGGAAACCCTTAAATGATGGAAACCCTTAAATGATGGAAACCCTTAAATGATGGAAACCCTTAAACAGGAAGTGAGAAACTCCCTTGAAGAAATGAAAAACTCCCATTTCTTCAAGGGAGTTTTTCACTTCCTGTTTAAGGGTTTCCATCATTTTCATAAGGTTACGTTTAAAGTCGAATTCTTCTACTTCTTCTGGGTTAGGAAGTTCAAGTTTTCTTGTTTCGTGTTCACTGGATTCTGGTGTTATGTTGCTTTTTAGGATGATGGAGGAATTCTTGCATTGGTACCTGCCCACCTCTTCTTTCAAATGAGTTGAACAAATGAGGTCCAATCTTTGCTGTGGCTGACTGCGTACTCTGGAGTTTTTCTTGGTTTGCCCTCTCTTAGGTCCCGTCAGCACTGGAGTAGGCTCTCTGTTCTCCACCCTGAAGCGGGCTGAGTTGGGGGATCCAAGGACCCCGCAAATGAAAAGGCGGGCTTAGGGGGCAGGGTCGAGGAAAGCCAGCAGCCAAGAACACACCCCTCTGGATGGCCAGAACAGTTTACTGAATTGGACGGGGCCTGGACTCAGTTCCCTGGGACTGTCTGGCCTAACAGCCACTTACTCACCTCTCTGGATCTGCTAAGCCCTGGTTACTTTTTTCTACTTGAGAGTTTTTTTTCAAATGTTCTATCTCATTTCTTTGTGAGATTAGAGATAGTTCTTTATCTTTTTTAAATTAAGTATTGTTTTATGTATATTGGTGTTTTGTCTGCATACACACACACACACACACACACACACACACACACACACACGGTGTCAGATTGTCAGATCCTGGAGTTATAGACAGTTGTGAGCTGCAGTGTCAGTTCTGGGAATTGAAGTCAAGTCCTCTGCAAGAGCTGCCATTGCTCTTATCCACTGAGCCATCTCTCTAGCCTCAGCAATTTATCTTTTAATGGTTAATTTCTACTTTAAAGGCTTGATTCAGCTTGTATTTGATTTTTTTCCTACTTGATAAGTTTTTATTTGTACTTCAATCTAGAGGTACTTTAAAATTAACAGTCTCTGCCTTTTAGTATGTTTTTCCCTGGATGAAGATAAACTACCTTGTTGATTTGTTAAGTGTTATCAGATGGTATTGTCATTTTAGTCCACATTTTATTACCTGTAGTATTGATAAGTATTATCTGTAGTGCTTACCAATATGTGGTTTTCCAGAATTAGAGATGTGTATTATATTATACTTTTCATGCTAAATGAGTCTTTCTCATTGTTAGTTTTTTTGTTTACCAGAGTCTTACAGCAGCTTAATTGCTGTCTAAACAATAGTTTTCTAAGTATCACAGTATGGTGTTTGTGTTCATGCTGATACTGATGTGTGGGGTAGCTTTTAAGTGCAGTGAAGTATGCAGAACTTTACTGGACATTTGGGGATTTCGATAATTGCACCTTTGTAACACCAAGGTACAGATTCTATTATGCAGGTTTCTTTGGCTCTTTTCAGCTGATTCTTGTCCCTGTTGGCAATCACTGTTTAGATTTGTGTATCACTGAGTCTTTTTCCCCTTTCTTTCTTTCTTTCTTTCTTTCTTTCTTATTTCTTTACTGTGTGTGTGTGTTGTTCTTGAATTTAATATAAATGGAGTATGTAATTTTGAAATCTATTCATGTTATTACACTAACTTACATTGTGTTTTTTTATGGCAAAGTAGTGTTTTAGATGAACGTATGGTGTTTGCTTATCCATTCTATTATCGATGTCAGTTGGACTTATTTGAGATTAGAACTATTACAAATAAAGTTATCCAGTCTTACTGTTGAAGTGTTTCCATTTCTTGAGTACAAACATAGTAGGTAGAAGTTTGTGGCTTTGTAGTAGATACATTTTTATCTTTAAGAAACATTGCAATAATTTTTTTTGTTTTGTTTTTGTCCCCCCCTCCTTCTCTTCTAACTTTTCTCTCCCCATCTCCCCTTACCCCCATCCCACCCCACCCCCAAGATCCCAATTTTCTCCCCGGCAATTTTGTCTACTTCCCTTAGCCAAGAGGATAACTATATATTTTTCCTTGGGTTCACCTTCTTACTTAGCTTCTTTAGGTTCACCTATTGTAGACTCCGTGACCCTTGCAAGATTTTTTTTTGCTAAATGGCAATGCTGTTTTGCCCTAGGAGGACCAGCAGTGCCAGAGCCCAGCTCTGTATTTCTTTTAGTCTTTGATAGTTAAAATTTGTTATCTCTGATGACTCATGATATTGAGCTGGCTTCACTTTTTTTTTTTGCCTTTACTTTGTTAATTGTCCTTGTTTTTCTTGTCATTGATTATTAACTTTTTCTTTTAAAATATATTCTTGATAAAAGATCATTACTAACATATTATACATACGTTCTAGTTTGGAGCTTTCTTTTCCCCACTGAATTTCTTTTTTGCTGAAAATGAGTTATTTCTTAATTCTAGACTTGGTTCTTTTTGGTATATTCATTTGTTGTCTTGATCAATACAATTCATTTGTTGATTCCTTTAAATTTATAGAACAAGTCTTTACATCAGAAGGTGCAAGCACCTTTAATTTTGTTGTTATATTTAAAATAGTTTTTTTTTGCTTTTTTTGAAACAATCATACAATATATTCTGATTATAGTTTTCTTCTCCCCCTACTCCTCTCAGGTCCTCCCACCTCTCCTGCCATCTGAATCTACACCTTTTCTGATTAACAAACATCTAAGAAATGATAATAAAATCAGTTAAATGAAAAACAAACAAATTAGAATATGACAACCAAGAAAAAGAGCCAAACAAAGGCACAAGAAACACATATAGATGTAGAGACACATGTTTGCATACTCAAGAATCTTATAAAAAACCAAAACATAAAGCCATAGTATATAATCAAAGATTCTTTAAGGTTAGGAGATTCTTACCGTTGTGGGAGGAAGAACCTCTGTAGATCCATTGACTTAGTTTTGTATTGGCCATCTACTGATAGAAATGGGGTCCACCCATAAGAGTAGTTTGTTTCTCCATTGAGACTCCTGTGGAGAAAACCAATTTCTCATTTGCAAGTGGCTGTCATTTGTAAATAGATACAGTCTAGGTTAGGGTTAGGTATGTATGTTCACTTCTTTTAGCTCTAGGACCACATCTAGTGCACGCCATTACAGATTCTATGCATGCTGCCTCAGTCTCTGAGTTCATGTGTGCAACAACCTCGTTGTTTTAAAAAGGCCCTGGTTCCTTAGTGTTGTCCATTCTCTTTTGTTCTTAACCCCCTTTCTTTGTCCTTTTTCATAGCATCCTTAGGTTTTTAAAAGATTGCAAATTTTTAATGTTCACCCTTAATATTTTTGAATTTACTTTTAGTTTATTTGTATTTATAATTTTTAAAATTTATCTCTCGTTATACTTTAGTCTTGTCACATTTTTAAAGCTTTCTTTCTGTTAACATTTTCTAAACTTGTGTTTCTAAATTAGTTCCTTCAAATACTGTTATTTAATTTACTATGTTTATAGTCTTAGTTTTAATGTCTATATTGTTTTCATCTCTTGTTGATACCTTCTAACTGGACAAGGTTTTCATCCATATACTGTTTAATAAAAATGTGTGATGTTTTATTTTGATCCTCAGTTTTGCTTTTTAGTTTTTTAAAAAAGTAACTTTCCTATTGATTGATTTACATTGAAAAATAAAATTATCTTTCAGTAAATTAAAATGTGAGACAACTCAGTAATAAAACATAATAGATAATTGTTTATATACTTATTTTTGAAGATAGATTGTTTTGTTTTTGTGTTTTAATTTTATGTGTATGGGTGGCCTGCCTTCATGTGTTCATGCAGTGTGTGTGTTCAGTATCTGTTGAGGCCAGAGGAGGGAGTCAGATTTGCTGGCACTGGAGTTAGGGTGATTGTGAGCCCTAATTGTAGGTCTTATAACTCCAACCTCTACAACAGCAGCAGGTGCTCTTAGCCACTGAACACCTCTCCAGATCGACTTCTAGAATTTTCGGTTAAAAGTTATACTACTTTTTCCTATATCTAATTCGCTTAGATCTTGAAAACCTTCAATTAATTAAAAATCTTTGTTCCTGCATGAAATACAAATAGTTTCCTTATAATGTGTTCAGCAGGACCACTCCATACGTTTGTGAGTATTACATGCTATGCACATTTTTAAAACTGCAAGCTTTGCTTGACAATTGTTTCTTTATTTTGGTTCCTTCCTTCCTTCCTTCCTTCCTTCCTTCCTTCCTTTTCCAAGACCGGGTTTCTCTGTAGCTTTGGAGTGCATTCTAGAACTCGCACTGTTAACCAGGCTGGCCTTGAACTCACGGAGATCTGCCTGCCTCTCTCCCTCCATAGTGCTGGGATGAAAGGTGTACGCCACCACTGCCCAGCTGGCAGTTGTTCTTTAAAAGTCATTTTTGATTTGTTGTTGTTTTCCATATTCTTTTCCCATGAAATGAATGGCCGTCCATTTTATCAGTACATCTTCAGAAAGACTTATCAAATATTACAGGCAAAATTATATACTATTATGACAAAAAGGGGGCACTGAAATTGATAGGTCCAATCCCATTGTCTGTTTGTTAGATCAATTTCTGATGTAAACGCTCATAAATTTTTTCATTCAAAATAGTATATATTATAGGTTTAATTGCTACCAACATGGGTAGTCCACAGCCTGTGTGTTACATTTTGAGAGAATGAGTAATTTTGCACATTTGTCAAACACTTCTTGAGTTCTACACAACATTGGGATGACTCTGATGTCATTGTAAAAGAATTTCTGTTCTTTATTGAAGACTTAAAGGAATTTAGAAGTCAGTATAGTGGTACATCTGTCCGTCCCTCCCTCCCTCCCTCCCTCGCTCCCTCCTTCCTTTATTTATGCTGGCTTTTTCACATAAAAGATGTACGTAATAAGAAATGTAGAGAAAGTAAGTACAAGGTGAGGGAAAGGAAACCCATCTGTTGTCTGTGGTGGTGGTGGTGCACTCCTTTAATCCCAGCACTCGGGAGGCAGAGGCAGGTGGAGCTCTGTGAGTTCGAGGCCAGCCTGGTCTACAAGAGCTAGTTCCAGGACAGGACCAAAAAAAAAAAAAAACCACAAAACTATGGAGAAACCCTGTCTCAAAAAATCCAATGAAAAAAAAAAAAGAAAGAAAAGAAAAACGAATTCTCCCACTCCAGGAAACAAACATTTTAGACTGAAAGATCAAGTGTCTGTTGGTTCTCAGCTTTCTACAGTGAAAAGAGGTACTAACTAGCTATAACAGCGTTATTTTTGTTTAGTTCACACTTTCCTCCTTCTCCTGACAAATGATACCAGTAAGCTTCTCCGTCAAATCAACTGGCAATATTCTCCATCCTGCAGTATTTCTCATTCAAATCACCTTGGAGTATCTGACTCTTGCTCTCCTGTTACTTTAAATCTAAGTGGTGCACTTTTACAGTTCATGTGATTTTGTTTCTCTGTTATTGTTTGTCCAGGTTTTTGAAGCACTGATTTGGTTTGCTTTTCATCTTTCATAGTGAAGACAATCATAATGCTACTTCCCTTTACCCCTCAATCTCTTGCGGCACTACTTCATTTCTTCTTTCCAAGTTTCAGATCCATTTGCTTTATGAAACTTTTCTGTGTCTCATAGATTTCAAGGTCAATTGCAGTCTTTTTGCTTGTTCTTTTGTGTGTTAAACAGGGCTTTTTTTTTTTTCAAACTTGCTTTTTAGGGTTTTTACTTTGAATAAAACCACTGCATTTTAATTTGATTAATTTTTCATATTTTCTGCTCAGTCCAGAGGTTTCCTTTTTTTCCCTCTTTTCCTACTTCTTGTCTTACTTGTCCATTTTTGTTTGTTTTTTTTTATTGTAGCTTGTATTCCTGTTGTTCCTTTGTTAATCATCCTTTTTCCAATTTGGGCTTTAATTAAAAATGAATTTCCAGTTGTAGTATACGAAATAGATTTAAACTTCTGGATTTATCCAGTACCATGCTTCTCCTTGTTTCAGCAGATGACTTCTTCTTTGTCTAGTCTCCTTTTAGACTCAAGTTTTCTTTTTTGTCTTTTCTCTGTTGTCAGGGTGAATTTTGTATTTTCAGGGCTATGATTTTTCCGTTTGTCCTTGTCCTCATCTGCAGTTTCCTCTCACCCTCTTTGAAAGTGTGCTTCACTTTGTCATAGTCTTCTTCAGCTTGAGTCTTTCACTTTTCCTGTCTTTGTTCCCTCGTCCTTCAGTTCTTTTCTTAATTCTGTATCTAGATGTTCAGAATTGGTTTTTCTAGATGTATGATTTGACAGGTACCACTGGTCTAGCAGTGAATCATCTTCTTCTTCTGATGGTCATTTAATTCATGGATTATGTTGTTAATTTGCTCTTTTTTTTTTGTAATTCACCTTCCTGTTTCTTTTATAAAAGCACATCCTCTTCAATTCTGCATGTTCATTCCTGTTTTCTTTAATTCTTTCTGTCTTAGTTTATCCATTTCAGCAAATATGTCTTTAAAACTCCCTGTCATATTTCAGACTATGCCTTTTTGATTTTAGAAGATGTCTCTTATTATAAGAAGCAAACATTTCTTTTGTGAATTATTCATAATTGCTTTTTATGGTTTTGGCTTATGAAGCTTTGTATATTTTTATACCATCCAATTCACAGTCCCTCACTGAGGGAGTCGGGGTAGGAACCATAGCAACAGTATTTGCTGACTTACTGCCCTCTAGCTCCCTCGTCATTTTCTTTCTGCCTTACATGCAATAAACTCATATAAACAAAGCATTAATGTGGGTCTCGAATTCTCCTATCTAAATTTGTTCTGATGACAGATTGTAGAGCAATAGCAAAATAGCAGTGATTGATAGTCTTTGTCTTGTATGTGTCTTTTTTTGCCTGTCTTATTACATTATTTCTCCATTTCACCTTCGATTACAAAAACGGCGATTTAAGGAAACAGTTTCCTTTGATCTGATCATCCTACATATGCTACTCCCCTACTTCTCTGTCAGTGAGTACTGTTTTATTGCTGAAGAAATGAGTCTGTTGAAATGACAAAGATGTGTGTGAGAGAATAAAGAGATAGTGTGGAAATTTAAAGAAGGTTAGGTGAGTTTTATTTTTGTTTTCAAGTATTATGAAGTCATTTTTGAAAAATGTAGTTTATGTGTTTTAGAACTGTGAATGATAGTCATGTTGTGTGGCCTTGTGTTTTTAATATGACACATGACTATTAAATTTTGAAATTTTGTCTTATCTTGAACATTATTATCCTCTTCCCTGGAATAAAACATTGTTATAAGAAATTATTAGAGAGTTGCATTTAGTAATACAACTTACTATGGAATGTTATTGCTGGTGGGACTTGTCAAGGAATAAACCTAGAAAGAATCTTCTCAGTTTCTCTCAGAAGTCATCCCTTATTGATGGAGAGGCTACTTCGGAAACACATACTATAAATGCAATGTAGGTTTTCATCTTCATGGACACTATTAACCAATTGTGCTTTCAATATTATTGTTCAGTTATTGATTCTTTCCCCTTTTGTTTATTTTGACAAGATCTTGCCTTATAGCTCAAACTGGCCTAGCATTTTGCCAACATTTTGCCTCTCCTTCATATATCCTGAATTATAGGAGTATTTTTTATATTTCCTTTCCCTTTGCCTTTTTTTACACGGTGGAGACATTGGTCCTTACGATGGATAGATTTATAGTATTTTCTCTATGTTACCATTTATTTATTAGGATATTTACCAAGTGAAAGGTTTTTTGACGTTTTTATCATTTTTTCCCCATCGTTTTACCTTGGTATGCATTGTTTTTAGTTTCGGTTATTTTGTCTCCTCTCTCTTTCCCCCGTTTTTCCTCCCTCTCCTGCCCACATCTTGGTGCTGTTTCTAGACTGTTTTCAGATACAAATGCTGGATGGTTGTCAAATAGAAATGACTTCTTTTTCCGCCTTTGCTTACTTCATTCTTAAATTATCCAATATTTCCTGAGTTCCTATGCATAGTCCTTCAGAATTTTCGATTATTTTCATTTCTGTTTGTATTTATTCATGTCTTTATTTCTGATCTGTGGCATTCTTTGTCATTAAACTTTTTATCCTAGTTTCCATTATTCATGATTCAGTGTTTCTTGTTTACTTTCCTATAACAGAAAGTTTTGTTTATTATTTGCAGGATTCTTCATGATGTTTCTATTTGGACTTAAAATTATATTTTTTTATTTACATTTTTATTTTTTTTCCTGTGCCTGCTGTTATGTAAATAAAAAGCAAATCTAAATATTAATAAATGTCTTGGGGGAGCACCTTCTTTTAGTCAGAATTCCTTTTATCAGGTCTGCTTCTCCCTTTAGTTAGAATCTCTTTTACTAGGTCTGCCTATCCCTTTAGTTAGAATCCCTATTACCAGGTTTGTCTATCCCTTTAGTTAAAATCCCTTTAACCAGTTCTATCTTATCTTTTTTGTAAAACTGCCGCTCCTTTCTTCACAGCATCCTATGCCTGCCTTTTTTTTCCTATTATGTTCCCTTACTTTATCTTGCATATTGTTTCTTTTGGGATTTATTATTCCATGTCTTAGTTTTATTCTTGGCATTGATTACAGATATTTTTATTACACTTTTTAAATTTTTGATCTGAATAGATTTTTGGAGAAGTGAATAGGATCAGATCTATTTGGTACTTTCTTCTGAGCTTTGTAAATACACATTTTTTAAAATTAAAGACTTTAGTGGAAAAAAAAAGACTTTAGGTTATAACAGGAAGAGGAGAGCTTTTTCAGCATTGTTTTTATTATGCAGAATTTCTGGACCTCTGAGGTTTCTTGATTTGTTTTTCACATTTTAAAAACAACTGCAAAAATGGCTTTTAAATAACATAACCAGATCTGGTCACTTACCGCGATTTATCTGCTTTCTCCATAACCCGCAACGATGCCTTCTTAGGTGACTGATTTAAGTCAAGTTTCAGAGCCTTCCTACAGTGTGAGAAGGGTTTTATTTTAACCACCCATCTTGCAATATAGCTTTCAAATTTTTAAAATAATTATTTGAAAGTTTTATGTATGTATACAGGGTATTTTGATCCTCTTTTCCAACTCCTACCAGAGCCCAACCTCCTGAGTCCAAAACTAGAATGACCCAAATATACATGCTTGGGAACCGATCCACTGAAACATAGTCAACCTGTCAAGGGATGCACCACCAAAGAAAACCTGATTTTCCCTTCTCCAGCAACAAGTAGCTGCCAATAGTTCCTGTGTAACTTTTGTGTACTGACAGAGGTCTTGAGGCTACAGTCTACATTTCTCCTGCCAACCCACAAAAACAAAGTCTACAAATGGAAGTCTGAGCCTTTCCTTTTAGCTGAGAGATTCTTGCATGCATTTCTTGTCCAGTTTCCTATTGGCTGTGTGTACCATTATTATTTTCTCTAGGTGCGTATTAATTTTACAAAAAAAAAAGTGATTGGGGAAAGCCAAGAAATCTGATAAAGCCTTCAGATATTGAAGTTTTGGAAATAATTTGATTAATGTATGTAAATAATTTAGATAATAAAAATAGTCTACCAAAACGTCAAGGAATAAATCTCAAATAGAGATTTGTAAAGCATGATGTCTCTTTTGGGGTTTAAACTTTTGTTACATTTATTTTGTGTGTGTGTGTGTGTGTGTGTGTGTGTGTGTGTGTTCATGCACATGCATGGGTGTACATGTCATAGAGCTAGTGGAGATGACAGAATATATACCATAAAGGAGTTGACAGATTTCATGAAAAGTGCTGTTACCCATTGATGATTCTGTGTAGCCCTCTTCCAAGATTTTTGAGAAAAGAACTTTAAAACATAAAATGCACTCTGTTGCCAATTAAAAATACTTCTGAATTTTTTTCTAAAATTGTTTTCCTAGCTGTGAATTAGTGCTATATTACAAATAGCTAATTAAAGGAAACCAAAATTGCTTATTATGAGCTTGTGTGTTGCTTTTTGAACTTAGAGTAATACAAAGATTATTATATTATTAAATTTAGTTCATAGGTTTTAGTCAGCCAGATATTATATCTTGTAGATACCACATGTGAGATAAATATCACTATAAATTTTTTCCTCAAGACACTACTTGAAAGGAACATTTGTATTTCTGCTATTAAGTGTAATTTTTTCTTAGTTACGTCAGTTCATGTTTCTATTATAATCTAATCTTTCACCATCTTGCCTTTAAAAAGTTTACTATGGAATGAGTAAACAGGAAAATAATGGAAGAATGATAAATAAAATATATTCCATACGTGATTGGTATCCTTAATATAACTGAAAGTTATCCTTAATGATTTTGTAGTATCATAAGCTTATGTTTGTAATAATGTCAAATTAAAACCAGTATTTTATCTTTTCTCAATAGGGAGTTCTGGGAAGTTGTTCATTCATTTACAAATGAACAGAAAAGACTCTTCTTGCAGTTTACAACGGGCACAGACAGAGCACCTGTGGGAGGACTGGGAAAATTGAAGATGATTATAGCCAAAAATGGCCCAGATTCAGAACGGTAAGTATTGACGTACAGCACCATACCTACCGCAAACTCTTTTACCTCATGCCGCACATATTTGAGCAGAGGCAACATTTAACCTCTTTGTTCTTTTATATTTCATAGAAATATCCAAGTCAACAAAGATTAGTGGAGGGAATATTCTGCCTTTACTACTCAATTAATATAGACATACTTAGAAAGTAGTTAAGAAGTTACGTGAGTTCTTAGTTTGTCAGATTTGTATGAATTATCCTTCTCTTTGTTTTACAATTTAATAAGAAAGCTGTTTTATATAACAATCTCTAGAATTCTTACACTGAAATATAGACAATTGTCTGTTCTCTAAAGTTTATTATAGAATCCTGAACTACATGATTTCGACACTTGATTGTATCCTTTCCTTATTAAATACTTCACTATTTTATGGTGGGGCTGGACAATATAGCCTTAGAAGTATGTTGACTTTGGTATACATTGACAGATTTCATTATTATCTATTCGTTATTTGATGCATTATGGCTCTAATTTTAATTAATTTATATTTGCCTTCCAATCATGTTCATTGTCATTTTGCCAACTATATTTCTAATGAATATTAAAGAGCACAGATCCTGAAATCTTTAATACTAGGTTTGAATTATTTTTAATTTTAGCTTAAGTTATTTAGTGATTTCTACTTTCAGTAGGTTTAGTGATACCTTGGTATGTTTGTTGTGTGAATATTCAAGTGAACCACAAAGCTTAATTTTCTAAAAGCATGATGTAGAATAGAACCTCACCTTCATATTAGTGTCATTTCATTGGATACAGACCTGCTCATCTTTGTAGCGCAGCAGTACCATGTTTATGATTTCATCTGTAGCTTCTCATAACAAACCATCTTAACTGCATAAGCATCTGATAGGAACGGTTATCACTGAGCATATTTTTTATGACTTATGATTCCTGTTTTTCTCTTTCTATTCAGGTTACCTACATCTCATACTTGCTTTAATGTCCTTTTACTTCCGGAATATACAAGCAAAGAAAAACTTAAAGAGAGATTGTTGAAGGCCATCACATATGCCAAAGGATTTGGCATGCTGTAAACAAAACAAAACAAAAAATGAAAAACGTTACAAAACTTAGTAAATATAATCAGAGGGATAATTTGGTGGTGATAGTGTCCCAGTACAGAAAGGCTGTAAGATAGTGAACCACAGTAGTCATCGATGTCTGTGCCTCCCTTCTTCATTGGGGACATTGTGGGCTGGAACAGCAGATTTCAGCTACATATATGAACAAATCCTTTATTATTATTATAATTATTTTTTTGCGTGAAAGTGTTACATATTCTTTCACTTGTATGTACAGAGAGGTTTTTCTGAATATTTATTTTAAGGGTGAAATCACTTTCGCTTGTGTTTATTACTGCTTGAGGTTGAGCCTTTTTGAGTATTTAAAATATATATACCAACGAAACTACTCTCGCAAGGAAAACATTGCCACCATTTGTAGACCATGTGTAATCTTCAAGTATGTGGGTTTTTTGTTTTTTTTGTTTTTTTTTTGTTTTTTTTTTTTTTGTTTTTGTCCCTGTATCTAACTCAAATCAGGACCTTCTTCTTTCCCCCTGCTCCTATCAATTTGCTTTTGAAACTTGAAGTCTTGGAAACAGTGTGGTGCAAGTACTGCTGTTCTAGCCCCCAAAGAGTTTTTCTGTACAACATGTGAGAATCAATAAAGATGGAAGGGAGAACTTGGAATGTTTGAACCACAGCCCTCAGAACTTGACTTTAGTAACAGCACAGCAAATTAAACAACTCATGCCACAGTGTGTTGTCTTCATGTGTCTGCAGTGAATGGTTCCAGTAGCCAGTCCTCTTAATATGTGAAAGGACAGGGTCTTTTTTGTTTGTTTTGTTTTTGTTGTTTTAAGTTTACTGGGGAAAGTGCATTTGGCCAAATGATAGGGTAGTCAAGCCTATTGCAACAAAATTAGCAAGTTTGTTGTATAAACAAGCATGTAAAAGTGCACTTAAAATGAATCTTTATTATTACCTAGATTTTAAATAGACAATCCAAAGTCTCCCCTTGTGTTGCCATCATCTTGTTTAATCAGCTATTTTCCAAGGCACTCGATCAGTGTTGCAGCATAACAGAAAGGATGGCTACTGTGCCTTGTGTTCTTTAGTCACACAATAAGCAGGCCTGCAAATGAATGGAACTATTACTCCTGAGAATTACATTGTATATCCCCCAATTTAAATTTTACTTCAAAAGTGTTAAATATTTCATGTGCTATAGAAAAGTACAAATAGGCTCAAATTACTGGATATTTAATGTAGCTTCCATTCGTAGTCTTCTGTGTCTGTGATGTTAATTTCTCTTGTTGCATAATGAAATAAAAGAATTATGTATTTTTAACTAAGGAGAGACATACTGGTATATCATTTTACTACAAGCTACAGCTAATTTGTTGAGCTTGTGCCTTGATTATTTTAAAAGTTAGTACAAAATCAACCTTATATTTTAAAATTAGCAGAGGAAAATGTAGCTTTCAAATCATTGAAAGTGGGGAAAGGATGTCTTTCAGGATTTTTTTCATTGTTGTAGTAATTGAAACAGAAGTATTATTTACTGTAATGCTAAATAAAGCAGTGGCTTAAAAAAACAAACTGTACCTTAATGGGGAAGAAAAAAGAACACAGTGCTTTCCAATTGTGATATTTTAATGTGGGTTTATCCTGGGCTAGCCTTTAGAACACTGTTGTGGTATGTATGCTACCTTGACAATAGGACCCCTAAATGTGACTCTAGTCATCTTAAAGGGCCTCTCATCCACTTTGCTTCTTATGTATTATGAAATTGCTAAGAAGACAAATTAAGTGGGTACATTTTATAAAATAAATTTGTGAAGAAATGTGTGTTCTTCAGTTCTCAAGTTTTATTATCACTACAGTATTGAAGTAGTTGTGATACTATACTTGTGTGAAAGTTTCAAGTGATAATATAGATTATCAGACAAATGTAACATCAATATATTTAATAGAAAGTGGGAAAAAACCTAAAAGAGTTTTAAGAGGATAGAATAAACTCATTTGCTTCTTAATTAGTTTTTCTCAGCATGTTACCATGTTATTATGGCTACCTTTTCCTTATTGCTTTCTTAGACTGGCAAGAAACAGTATCTTACGAGTAAAAAAAAAAAAAATACCTTTTAGTGTTGTCAAATGTCTCAAAGTTACAGCATAAAAGCACAGCCTGCAGCAAAACTTTTCTGGAGACTTGGCAGCTGCAGCAAATTCATTGAGTGTCTGATTGTATATATTGTGGTCTATAGTTAATTGTGTGAACAAGTCCAGTTACAGTTACCTTAGCTTTATTTGGAGATACATCCCTGTATAGGAAGGTATATGTCAGAAGAAACCTATAAATGAGGCTCCGGAGAACACGTTCATGGTATCATGTGGCACATGCTTATAACTAGGCAGCATCACTGTTTCTATAAGGTGGCTATGTTGAAACTTAAACCTGACTTCAGGAATTTTTTCTCAAGAATTCACATAACCTAGTGGAGAAAGTGTTTTTCTAGGCTACTCTGTATCTTTACCCTTCCTCCTCTTCCCAGGACCACCAGCGTAAAATAGTAATAATAGCAACTGTCACTTGTTGCTTCTCTTACCTTTTCTCCTCTTATTCCATGTCAGGACTAGAAAACAATCTTTGGTATTTGGTGGGAAGGTGTTTAGATAGAGCCCCCCCCCCCCCTTTTTCTTATTACATTCAAATCAGTAAATTGACTTTACTAACAGTTACAAGAAGTTTTAGTTACACGTATGTACTACATTTCACTTTGTGAAGGCTCTTAATCCAGTAATATTTCACTGAAAGTGTGCTTTGAATGTACTTTGCAACAATACTAGTAATCTCCTATTTTCCATATGGAGAACTCTTGTTTTTAATCCTTGATATCACTGCAGCGTTGGGCTACTACTTCCTGAACAACTCATTTTTCCATCCCAACTCATCTACACTGTGTGTGGATACTCTTCTGATTGTACCTATAAGTACTTGTCTAAACTTTTTGGTCAACCTCAGTAATTCCCCAAGATTCTTCTCTAGCAGCTTATCTTATCAGACCTCTATTTCCAAGATGTCTTCATGGTATCTCAAAGTCAGTACAGTACCTATAAAAACAAAATTTGTATTCTTGAATTTCCTAGCCATTATTTTTTGCTTGTGGGGACTGATGAAATGGCTTAGTGGGCAAAGTTTTCCACACAAAATTTGATGACCTGAATAGTCTCCCTAGACCCCACATACACATGGAAGGAAAGAGGAACTCCATAGCAGTATCCTGACCTTTTCACATGTGCTATGACTTTTGCTCCCCCCCCTCCAGTTTATCAGACATATAAGAATAATACATTACATTCATTATGTCTCACGTTTAATGCAGTTACTGACATCTCTCATCCCTAAAGTTGTTGCAAGTTGTCAGCCCTTTTCTCTCAAACCTATTCTGTTCAGTTTTACTTTATTTCAGGCCCTAATCCCTTGGTGCAGGTTATCTTCCCTGACTCTTAATTCTAATTCTTTTCATTCTCCTAAAGCAGTTTTTCTTATTTAATGTAATAACTTCCCTTTGGGATAAGTCTTGCCTCATACAGAGGGATTTCTGTGTAATTTCCTAGTGCAGACTGTTCACCAACACCCCTCCACATCCCTACTTAGCATTGTTACTTAGACTTTGTACAACTCACATATTCTTGAAGTTGAATATTCAAAGTATCATGTTCATAAAGACTTCTGTTCCCACAGTATGCCTGCATACCCACAGTACACAGCCTGGTGGATCACATTTACTGGAACAGTTGAGACTTTCATGAATTACTACTGTTCTCTTATGGGTTAGGTTTGATTTTTGAACTTTTCTATTTTTCTTTTTAACATTTTTTTGTCTTGCGTGGAGTCTAAATAAAAAGTCACAGTGGAAATTGGCCTGTAATGATCTTTCTGTCTTTTAGGCAGTAGGTACAGAAGAGACAGAAGGATCTATAGAAAGATCAGTAGGTGGTTATGTTGAGACTTAAACCTGTTTTCAGAAAGAAGTGTTTTTCTGAGGCTGCTGTTTGTGATGTTCAGTCCTTTAGTTGCTTGTTTTAAGACTATCTTTACCCTCTCTACCCTTCCCAGGACCACCAGAGTACAACAATACTAATAACAACTTTCTCTTGCTGCTTCTCTTCTCTCCTTATACTCTGTTGGTCACCATAGAACATAGATCTATTCTGGACTCATCGAATCATATTAGCCTATGGAAAAGGAAGTCAGAGAGTTAGAAAGCAAGAGTTTTTGTGACTCTACTTTCCACCTTCTGTTGTACTCTAGCAATCAGTAACCACCTTATTTATGCCGTCCCACAAACTTCCCTTTATTTCAGAACTGATGGCAGCTGGCACCTTCAGTCATTATGCTATTACTTGTCCCTCAGATTTTCAAAGAGGAATCCTCCAGATGCTGTTCTATGTAAATGGGAGTCATATTTAACATTTTCTTATACTTCGTAAGTCAAATTCCTATAAATTCTGGTGAGAACTTTCAGTGGCTGCTGAGTACCTGTGCACATGCTCCTTCATTTCACAAAATAAGTCAGTCACTGTAACTTGAGAGATTATACACCTTACCAAAAGTCCTATAGCCAGGAAAAAGAATGACTAATCTATGGTCGTCCATATGACCACCTAATAATTGTCATCTTCCCCTTGCAAAAAAAAAAAAAAAGGCATCAAATTAAGATTCTTAGGTTGATATGCATGGGACCTAGGGTTATTATCCTAATTATTTTTCATTCTTCAGAAATCTGTAGAAAATGATGTGGAAGGTGTATGAAAAATAGTACAGAGGGGTTGAGATTGTCATTCAAATGACTCCAGAGTTTAGTTTTGATCCTGTCATTCCCTTGACTTGGATTTTACCCAATCCTACCTTACTGTGTGGTTTTAATGAAAATACCATACAGATGCTAGATAACATCTTGGAAGACATCCTGAGAGGAGTTCTCCCAACAGTTGCTTGTTAACTAAAAGAAAACATCAAGAGATTGGAATTGTCTGTAATAAAGATTTATTTTGGAAGAGTTGACCTTATCTCATCCACCTTTAAATGGAAGAGATTTGCTTTCACTCAGCTTTGTTTGAGATAAAATTCACATAATATAAATTCACCCCTTTAAAAAGTGTAAAATTTGTGGTTATAGTATATTCACAGAGTTGTGAAGTTGTCCTTACATATAATTCCAGAGCATTTTCATCACTGTAAGTTTTCCGTACCCATTAGGTGTGACCGCCTGTTCTTAACACCCAGCCCCTGGCAACTACTCATCTACATATGCCTATGAATTTTTCTGTTTTGGACATTTCATGTTAATGGAGTCATGATATGTGGCCTTTTTTGTCTGTTCCCCAGCCGCCCCTAAAGATATGAGTTCAAAGTACATTCTTGTAGCATGTATCGGTACCGTTTTCTTTTGTGGCCGAATATTGTCATTGTGTTGATATAATGTATTTTTTTGCTTATCGATTTGGTTGTGGATATTGTATTGTTTCTGCTTTTTGCATATTATGAATACTACAACTATGAACACTTTGTGTACAAGCTAAGTTTTCATTTCTCTTATGTCCTGTAAATATCTTATGATTTTAGTTCTTAAATTTAGGTCTTTGATCCATTTTTGCATGTGATGCATTGTAGGGATCCAGTTTCATTCTTTAATATGTGAATATCAAGTAGAACAAATAATTGTTACATAGACTAATAATTATCTCTTTATGAATAGGCTTGACATCCTTGTGACAAAACAAATTCCCTGACACACACACACACACAAATGAGTGTAAAAATGGACTCCTTGACTTTAATCTATTGTTCTATGTGTTCTTAAGCCAGTACCACATTGTCTTAATTGTAACTCTGTAGTAGGTTTTGAATTTAGGATGTGTACGTCCACCAATTTTGTTCTACTTCAAGATCATTTTACCTATTCTGGGTCCCTTGCATCTCACATGGATTTTAGGATCAATTTGTTAATTTCTGCGTAACAAGCACCTGTGATTTTGATAGTTTTTGTGTTGATTCAATACATCAGATTGAAGTATGTTGGTATTTTAACAGTATTAAATTTTCTAATCCATAAACATGGAGTGTCTCCATTTATTTAGGTCTGTAATTTCTTTCAATGCTATTTTATAGATTTTAGTGTATACATCTTGAATTTATTACATTAAATGTTTTTCAAAGGTATTCTTCTTGATACTATTACAAGCAGTTGTTTTATTTTGGATTATTCGTTGCTAGCATCTAGAAAGGATTGAATTTTGTGTATTGACCTTGTATACTACAGCTATTCTTAGCTGATTCTGTTTTTAATTTTTTTTCTGTATACAAGATTGTGCATTTGTCAATAGAAATACTTTTGCTTCCTTTCAAATCTGTATTCTTTTTATTTCATTTTCCTGCCTAAGTGCTCTGGCTAGCACGTCCAGTATAATAATAAATAGAAGTGGCAAGAGTGGACATCTTTTTCTTGTTGCTGATTTTATGGGGAAAGTATTAGGTCTTTCACCATTAAATATGATGTTAGCTGTGGGTTTTTCATAGATACTGCAAGTTGAGGAAATTTCCATTTATTCCTACTTTATTGAGTGTTTTTTATCAAAAATTACTGAATTTTGTCAAATGCTTCTGTATCTATTAAGGTCATGTAGTTTTTGTCCTTTATTCTCTTGATATGTTGTATTACATTGATGGATTTTTTTGTATATTGAACAAACCTTGCATTCCTGGAATAACCCCACTTGTCTATGCTACATAAACCATTTTCTATGCTGCTGGATTTGGTTTGCTAGTATTTTGTTTAGCACATTTGCATCTATATTCATAAAAATATTGGTCTGTAGTTTTTCCTACCTTTTTATGGTTTTGCTATTGGGGTAATTCTGGTCTCAAAGTATGCCAGGAACTTTCTGACTTCTCATAAACAGAATAAGGTGTGTTTGAAATAATATACTTTGAAACTTAATCTGTGATCTTTAGATATTGGGTGACACAAGAGTGATAAATGACGCTTGCAAGGATTCCAAGGTAAGATTTGCCAGAAGTAGCTTTTGGCTGCTGAATAAAGGGCAGTTAACAGCAATCTCATCAAGCTGGGTGTTCCTCATAAGCTATATGTCATTGTTACATGACTTAAGGATTCCCTTGCACAAATAATCTTTCTTACTAAGCAACACACCTAGAAGCGGAGTGCCACCCAATGTAGAAGCTTTGGAGTAGGAAACATTGGAAGCTAATGACCAAACCGAACAGTGTCAGGTTACCAATACCCCACTCTCCACTACCGCTTGTCAGAATCCTTACAACTTCATAAGTAAGACAGTATCTTTGCAGTGATTCCCTCTAGTGCAGAAGTGCCCTAAGTGGCTGTTAAGCCTGAAGGATAATGGAAAGAAATGTGAAGTGTCTATGATGAAGAAAAATCTCTATATTTAAGATTTTAAAGATACATAGATTTGCATCATCAGAGCTATCCAAAGGATTTAAGAAATGTGGAATGTCTATGATGGAGATTAAAGAAAGTGTTGCTGCCAAAAATGTTTCCCAGGATCATTTATTATATATTTTTGCTTGTAATTTTAATTTTCTCCGAAGATAAAACTTGGTATAGAAAGTTCAAGAATGCCTTGGTCACAACTTGACTTCATCTTTGCTACCCATTCTCACCATTTTTATTCATTGTGTTTGTAGGCCCATATTTCTATATGATATGGCAGTCAGTCATAGTGGTCACATGACCTTCAGACAGGCTGTAGCTACCCTAACAAAAGCTCAGGATACGCTATTCCTTGCTTTTTAATTATGTAGATTGCCTGAGAAGAGGTGTCAGTTCAAGCTAGTGACAGAGTTGCGGACAAGACAAAATGGGCATAGAAAGGTGTGGTCAAAGAGGTAGAAGTGACTAAAAACCATTCACCTGGTTACCTAGGGAACAGAATGCTAATGTATTTTTCCCCTCAGCTTATGTTTTGATATATAAGGCTGTTTGGGGAATAAAGCAGGGGAATTCTTCAGGATGTGAACTCAGGACTTAATGAGGGACCATTGAGAATCTCCCTCCAGATAAAGCCATGTGAGTTGTGTTTTTATTCGTGCGCCTCCACGCCGGTCCAGAGAGAGATAGTTTATGTTGGGGTCTGGCCCAGAGAAATAATTTATGGTCCAGGCTAGCACCAGATCCTGACAATGGCACCTAAAGGGCTGATGCACAACCACCCCCCTCCCCCCCAAAAAAAAAAAAACACGCGAAATGACCAGACGTGAGGAACCGGCGAGAAGAAATTGGTGGATACGTGAGTATTGAGTGGTCAGAAATAGAGATCAAAATTTTAAAAACTATAAAAAGCAGAACAAAATTTAAATTGGGAATAAAAAATTGTAAATAAGTTATATATATGGGATAAGAAAAAATATTCAGTTATATATGTTGGTAGCTAAAGAGAGAGTGGAGCAGAAACAATGGAAGATATAGAATCCATATGCTTGATAGACGTGGAGATGCAATTTTTATCGCTTGCTAATGGGCAGGAAAAGTGTAGGAAAACAACTTTTGGCCCAAGAATCACCTTGTTTACTGCTGAGATTGAGGTGCCACGTGCAAGCAGTAGCCAACTGAATCTAACCTGCAGGTAAAAGACAAGCTGGAGTAAGTTTAGAGAACTTTTTTTTTACCACACAGTAACTCAGAGTCAGTCAAGAGAACAGAGGAGAGAATTCAAAAATACTTCTAATTGTATGATTTACAGGTTAATATTTAAAAAAAAAAGTTAAAACTGCCTGCCAAAGCATGGGAAGGCAGGCTGGCAGACAGAAGAAGCCTGTGTCCTACCCCCTGCCATGCTAGATGAAAGGCAAGTTTGCAAATAAGGTAGCCTAGAGAGCTGCAGCTTCAAGATAATTGAAAATAAATAAGCAGGTTAAATATGTTTCTTTTTAATTTCATGACTTATTATCAAATAAATTATTTAATAATTATTATTAATAAATAGTGGTCCGGGCTAGCACCGTACCCGACGTGTTCATTTGAAGTTTGGCAAGGCTGGTCATGACTTTGGTTTGCTATCTCCTTATTACATCCTGCAGTGATTGCTGTGATTTTGTGGAAGAAAGTTTTCTCTCATGACGACTGTGTTCGGTAGTAGCCTTGAGGGCAAGGGTAGGATTTGTTATTGGTATTACACAGAGAAAAGTCATTACTTCCAGTCTTTTGATTACTGTTTTTCTGCCCTTTCCCTGCCCTTTGTATTCTGAATAGTGGAGTGTGTAGTCCTGCTCCTTTGCATGTTTCCCCAGGGTACTCTTGCAAAGCATGGGAACTCTGAGGGGCCTTTGAGTCTCTACCAGATTCTTAGTTCTTTGCTCTATGAGAATGCCATGGTTTAGGACAGCATTGATCTGAGTCAGCAGTGCTGGATCTATGTGTATGTGTACACTCTCTAGGCCTCAGCAGTGTTCCGTACTTTCTTTTTTTCTTTTTCTTTTTTTTTAAGGGCTCTACATTTTTTCCAAGGGTTTGTTTTAAAAGTTTTTTTTAAAATCACATTTTAAAGTTATTATTCTGTTGTTTTTCTAGCGAGAGTGGAAGTGAGGGTCAGAGGGCAACTTGGAATTGATTCTGTCTTTCCACCATCTAGGCCCCAGGGATCAAATTCAGGTGGCTAAGCTTGGCTCTAGCCTTTACCCACTGAGCCATCTCACCAGCTCAAAACTTGTTTTTTTTTTTTTCCTTTGCTTCTTGCCAGTGGCTCTATACAACACTTGAGTACTGGCTAAAAATACATACCACATAGTTTTATGTAAATATAATATGTTTTCCTGTGATGTTTTCAAACCCCATTAGTCCTATTTATTCCCTCTGCCTCTCTTCAAGGTTCTGTATTCAGCTTCAAACACAATGATGAGGGCTACTTTTTCTGTTATGACATCCCTTAGTTTCACGAGTCTCTTCACATACGCTGCTCTTCTGTTTTCAGTAATTTTGAGTAATATGTGATTCCGGCTGTTCTGGAATTCAGGTTTGTTACTTGTTAGATTTCTCTGTTGGTGACTGCCCTGTCTTATATATAGCCTTGGTCTTCCCTTTGTAGGTCCCACTGATGGTACTCTATGCCAAATGTGAATCATCTAGACCCCTTCCCTCCTAGTTCTCTGTTTTCCAGACTATTTCAAACTCTTCAGAACTTTGCATGCCTGTAGCATCTCTGCCCCTTCTTGCAGCACATCAAACCCCGTTTCTCTGGAATTTCATATCCTGTGGATTCTCTCTGCATCCATCCCCACCCCCAGATGGCCACTGTGCATTGCCATTTGAGTAAAACATATTAACCTGTGATGCTGGGTGGTGGTGTCTCATGCCGTTAATCCCAATACTCGGGAAGCAGAGGTAGGTGAATCTCTGAGTTCGAGGCCAGCCTGGTCTATAAGGGCTAGTTCCAAGACAGCTAGGGATGTTACCCTGTCTCAGAAAACAAACAAAACAAAACAAAAACAACAACAACAAAAAAGGTCTCTCACCTTTTTTACCAAAGAGACTGACTGTACCTTTGCCAGATATTGAAGGAAGAAATATTTGCATGGGTGAAATGAAATTATAGAAGAGTGACTTCTAAATTAGAAAATTTTGCCTCAATCAAAATAAATTTCCATAAGGTGGCAATTCATTTATTTGCCTCATTGCAAACTGAGCTTTGCCCTTTCTGTGTGCTACAGTGTTGGAAGAGAGGTGTGGTGGAGTTTGGCCTTGAAAAGGGTGCCTAAGGGAGGTAGGTCGAGGTTGGAAGGCTTCCTAGTGAGGTGGTAGCTTCTTGTTACTTTGAAATTGTGTTCAAATTATCTTTGATAGTACTTTTGAAAGTACAGAAAACAACGAAACCTGAGAATCTCTTATATCTTAAACTGACAAGCATGAAGAAAATTATACCAGTTCATTGCCGTCAATAGTGATGAAAAAATCTGACATATAACTTAGAGGTAGCACGAAATGATGCAGAATGCAATTCCACAAGGGAGAGCAGAGTAGGAATGCACATACACAAATATACACATGAAGTCTGCAAGAAAGAGCAGTTCTTAAAAGTTACTATAGTGTTCGTAATATTCAACCTGTGCAAATAATACAGATCAAAGATGAGAAAAACACCACTAGAAGTTTTTTATACTATTCATAAAGGTTGTAACTTCATGATAGACTGATAAGGGTGTTTGCTGGATGCTCTAAAACACCCACTAAATCAAATAGTTCACGTTTATACCATGAGAAATTTAAAATGGAATCACAGAAACTCTGGCTTGACCCCTCCCCCAACATGATGTATTGAAGTTCTCATACTTATGAAGGGGAGCTTGTATGGAAATAGCATCTTTTCAGTTGTAGTCAACTGAGGATGATAGTTTTAGAATGAGCTCTGATTTAGTTAGACTAATGCTCTTACTAGATAAGGAGAGCATACACACATAAGAAGAGATGAGTATGTATTAAGAAGCAAGAGATTGGGGAATTGCTTCTGTGAGACAAGGAATGACATGGATTATTTTTTTAAAAAATCAACCCACAAGACACAAGGATTCTCCCATACAGTTTTTAGATAATTCTAGGCCCTGTTAATTCTGTAAATTTTTTAAAAAGGTGAGTGTTTTGTTTAGATTCCAAAATTAACAATGAATTTCTCATGTACTGTGTCACTTAGTGTGTGGTAATACAGAAGACTTGGGACTCTAATGCAGTGTTCAGTATAAACAAAGGGGGAAATATATAATGGGACTAACAAACTAACAGTGA